ATATTGGTACAGGGATCAAACTTGGGACCTTGCACTTGCGAGGCAGGTGGTGGCACCACTCAGCTAAATCCCCAGCCCTAAAATATGTCTTAAATGTACATTTTAAGGCATTGATTGCCATGAACATGTTACGTATCATGATTGTATTCATTACCAGCGTTCAGTCTTTTAGAATGCATGCATCAGGGCTCTAAAATACCAATCCTTAGTTTTCCTGTGATGATAGCCACCTTTCATGGACCAATACTTTTGTAAAATTCATTACAGATTAAATGATTAGAAAAGTGAAATGAGGAACACAAGCTCACCGATCACATGCTTGAAGGTTGAAGCAATGCAAATTGTTAGAAACTTCTGAACATTTCCTCTCAATTTTATACTTAGAGTTAATGAACTGGTAACAAGTCTATCTGACTGGTGCTGGTCTGTGCACCAAGGTTGGGTAGCTGTGGTTTAAACCTCAGAAGATAAATATTCTCAAGCAGTCAAAAGGATAATAATTCTGGAAGGGTAATTAGACTAACTCTGCATTTTCTCTACCAACTATTTAAACATTTATTAAGGATCTTATATATGCAAAAGAACCAATCAGGGGGCTCAGCAATGGGAGAGCTGAGGGTCCCCTCAGTCACAGTAATGAGCCCACTTAAGCTCTCTTTTCTATCCGTCTTCTGCCCTCTAGGGGACCCAACCACATCTCTCAGTCTCCCTGGGGTGCTCTTCTGCTTTTTGGCACCTGGCAAACTCTTACTCATTCTTTTTATTTTTTTAATTAAGGAGATATTTCAGCATGCAAAAAAAAAAGCATTTTGAAAGAAGGATGGAGACTATACTTGTGTATCACCATTTAAGAAATAAAATACACCTGATATAATTGTCCCTACTCCCCTTTCTCCCTTCTCAGAGGTCACCACTACTCTGGATTTGAATTCTCATGCAGATTTCTATGCATGTCTTAATATTTTAGTAAGTATGCATTTAGCTAGATATAAGATATAGCTAGTCTTATTTTCATGTTTTATTTTTGTTTTTTGTGTTTTGAGACAGGGTCTCACTATGTAGTTGAGACTGCTCTGGAACTCACTGTGTAGCCCAGGCTGGTCTCGAACTCACAGTGATCCTACTGCCTCAGCCTCCCGAGTGCTGGGATTACAGTTATTTTCATGTTTTAAATACTTTAATATAAGTGGTATCTGACTGTACACACCCTTTCAGAACTTGCTTTCTTTGCTGAGCATTATGTTTTAAAATTGCACTGATGACACCTGCCTTCAGCTCCTTCATGTATACTATTGTAAACATCTTGCTTTTGCTTCCTAAACAATTGCTGCATGTGATTATCAACTGTGTTGCAATGAACATTCTCATCTACGTCTATGAATGCTACTCAAAAGTGCTACTCTGAGCCCCTCCAGGAAGAACTGTGTGCTTCTAAGACACAGAATATGTCTCCATCCAGCTTCTTGGGACAGTATGAGAAACCACTTACAGTGGCCAGTGAGCAACTGCACTCAGGTCCGACCTCAGTAATTTCTGAGTCCTCACACCCCACAGAGTGCCAGTGCACACTAGGTATTCAGAAGCACTTCCTTATATTTTAAACATTATTTTCCACTGGCATACTACTTAGTATCTACAAGACAGTCTTCTATGTTAGTTCACTTCACCCTAACAATTTCAGGATATCGGTACAGCTACTTACAGATGGAGAAACTGAGGCACAGAGCTGACATGACTCACCCAGCACCTCTCATCTCATAAGTGATAGAGCAAGAATTATACCAAGACAGTCTGGCTTGACTAACCAGCTCTGTGTTATACTGTACTTCAAATGTTGCTGAATGAATCAGTGAATCAACACAGAGGACAAAAGCTACAGTGGCATTCTTTTTCTTTTGTTTTTTGCAAAGTTTGTATTGGTGTGAAGAAGGTAGTTTGTTCCAAACTTTGCTGGATGTTCTTTGTTTTCTTGCTAAAGGTTTTATGTGGGGGATACCTCTCAAAAGAGCAGATTCTGAGGCTTGAAAGAAGTAATATCGAGCTTTAAAAAACCAACTATGGTGCTGCCAGGACAGTGGTATTCTCTGACTTGGCTCTCCTCCAAACATCTCACACAAGGCTGGCTAGGAACTGTTGAAAAATGCAAAAAATCTCAGTCCTTGATTTTCTGAAGTTTTGTTTCCTGAAGTTTCAGTTACCCACAGTCAACTCTGGCCCAAAATTATTAAATGGAAAATTCAAGAAATAATTAATTCATAAGCTTTGTATTGTGCACTATTCTGAGTAGAGTGATAAAGTCTTACACTGTTTCACTCTGCTCTGTCTGGGACATGAATTATATACCTTTTCACACAGTAACCATGCTGTATATGCCACCCTCCTGATAGCTACTTTGTAGGTGACTGTTAATAGAGTGACTGTTCAGTATTGTAGTACTTGTGTTCCAGTAATCCTTACATAGAAGCCTAATGCTACCTCACAAAGCCTACTCTACTGACCTCACTTCATCTCATCAAGTAGGCATTGTATCATCTTACATTGTCCTAAGACAGGTGAGTATAATACAATAAGCTATTCTGAGCCAGAGAGACCACAATCACATGTTTTTGTAGTATATTGCTATAATTGCTCTATATTATTATTATTAGTTATTATTAATTTCCTTTTTTTGAGACATGGTCTCACTATGTAGTTGAGGCTAGCCCTGAACTTACATTGCAGCCCAGGCTGGCCTCAAATTCATAGCGATCCTTATGCCTCAGCCTCCCAAGTGCTGGAATTAAAGTGTGTACCATCACACCCAGCTTTATTAATTTCTTACTGTGCCTAATTTATAAATTAAACCCTACATAGGTAGATATGTGTGACTCAATACTGTTTGCAGTTTCAGGCATCCAGTGGGGTCTTGGAGTGTATTCCCCATGGGTAAGGGAGGACCATTGTACACTATTTTAAAACAAAACATGTCAAAAGAAAGGAGTGTCAGGAATTGAAGCAAGCTATACCAAGTAAAAATAAGAAATGCTAATGAAGCAGGACTCTCATGAAAGAAAACTGCTGAGGTCCTATGTCTTCCATCTTCAACAAAGATGGACTCTTATCACTTTGAAGTTACAAGACAGCGCAAAATCACATTGGCAGACTCTGCCCATAGATCCCACACTTGAACTTGCAGCAACAGTTTAAATAGTGGGGTCTTCTTCCTGCCTGCTTACACCCAATGGAAGAAACTGCTTCAGGCCCCTGATACACCAGAAAATTGAGAGGATGAGTCATCCTTCAAAGAGTAACAGGAAGAAGTCAACCTTCATTATTTCTAGGAAGGTGGTGGAACCACCGTCATTATTTCAAGCCATCAAAGAATCAAGACAAGAAAGAGGACCAGTTTTCGATGACTTGATAGGACCAGCCTTGGCTACGACAGTATGGGGTACCGCTCACCTTATTCGCAGCATCTCTGGCCTGCTGAATTAGTTCCCGAATTCGGTCCACATTGTCAGAGATGTTCCCCAGGGGCAACAATTGCTGGTTGATACTTTCAATCTTACTCAAAAGGTCAGGCAGTTTCTTGGTTAATTTCTTTACTGAGGGTGAGATTAGGAAACAGATGTTTAAAATTGTGCATTGACAAAAGTTTAAATATGGATGTTCTTCCTGATAGTATTTGTTTAGTGGCAAGTTTGGGCCACAGATGTTGAAAAGATAGATTATAATCAGTCAATCCTCTTTCTAAATGCATCATGGGTTTATTCTATATTGAAGACATCAAATCCTTTTTTTGTAGGGAAAAAAGCCTGTTTTTTGGTTCTTAAGATCAGTCATAATTTAACACCTCATGATTCATGAACTTAGCATTCTCTAAAAGAGAAAACCAATAGCATTATCAATGGGTTCCAAATAAAGCACCTCACCTAGTCTTTCTAATATAATACCTACATTATTTACATGTATTTTATGAAACTGTTTACTGATGTTTTTATATCTGAGATCAGACTTTACTAGAGAACTAAAATGAACAAGGATGCCACAACAACGGAGGAAATAGCTAATACATCCTGACCAAAGGACACCTGTTACCTGACTTATTAGCATCAGTTAGAGCTTTGTTGAAGTCTTCACTCTGTGCACTCTCGTAGTTGTCCTTGATCCTTTCCAAGTCCGTCTGAATGGGGCTGAGTCCATCCAGAACCTCACTCGTGATGTCACTGGCCTTCCTGACCATGCTCTTTGCACCACTGATCACACTGTCAACGGCCCCTAATGCACACACAAATAAAGAGGTGGAAGGATCTGAAATGTCAACAGGAAGCCAAGTACACTGGTCCAGGGAGATGCTGACCTCTCTGTATCCCACGAAGATCGTTGCGGACAGAAGTGAGATTGGTGTCTATCAGTTCTTTCTGAACCTTCATGATATTCAAGGTTTGTTGTAAGTTGTTGAGAGCCAGACTAATTTCTAAAAGAAAATAAACACAAGGAGGCAATCACTGTATGCATTTTGATTATCCACTGCTGTCTATGGCCTGGGAAGTAACCAACATCTGCCCAGCATTGAGCAGATCTGCATCTTAGGGCTCATGCCAAGATGCCTGTTGTGTGTGCCGAACCTGCAGCTCTGAGGCCCTCTGATCACAGAGGCCAGAAGCATTACAGAGCCTTGTGGTGACAAGCTCCTTGGAAATGCATACAAAAAAGGGATAGACTGAACAACTTACGGGGGCAAAAGACTCTGCTCAGTGAAGGAAGTGCCTGTCTTATTCACAGCTGTGCCCTAGTATCCAGTGCAGTGTTTGGCACTAATCAGAGCTTACTATTAGAAGCTATTTGTTGAATGAATATATGAAAGAATGAATGAATAATGCAGAAAGAATGCCTCTTCAGCCAGAGGATGAGAAAGGAGTGTTTTTGAGGAGCCCCATCCAAAGGACATCAGAGTAGACACTATTTCTGTTCACTTTCAAACCGACATATTTAAAAAATCCCACAACAGGGCCAGGTGCTAGCAGACATTCGTGGCTGCTAATCTTGCCACCTTTGGGTCATGGAAAATGACTGGCGAATGCCATAAAACCATACAGATAATTTACATTTTGTTCCCATGATGCTTTATTCACCAACATCCTCAGTATTCTAACCTACTGAAAACACTGATCCTGGGCTGGGGTCTGGCTCATGGTAGAGCGCGTGCTTAGCACATGCCAGGCCTTGGATTTGATCCTCAGCACTTCAAAGAACAAACAAAAACCTCTACAATCTTACCTCCCAGCTCAAATTTTATAAAGACGGCAGGTATCATACCATTAAACCTTAATGCTTAAAATTTGCCAGGTGAATAATTGTATATTAGTGCATAGTTTTTCTATATTTTTATTTTTCACGTGTTTAGTTCTCTAAAATGCTAAGAGAATTTACAAAGGCATCATGTAATCCCCTGAAGGACTGAGAAGCTGATAGGCTCAGATGCCTGCTCAGCCAAGGATGCTCACAAAAGATCAGAGAAACCCAAGAGATGGTATTCTTAGAACAAAGGAACTTGCAAAGTTTAAATTCTTAATTCTAAAAAAAGTAAATAAAAGAAAAATAAAATTTATACTTAAAATTTTCCCACACTGCACAGTGGAAATGAGTTATGGTAGTTTTAGTTGCTAAGATTTTAGGACACGAGAAATTTTGAAGCAGTTGCTCTAACAACCTTCCGTGAGTGATCTTGCTGTGCTCGTTCTCACTGCCATGATCACAGGGGAGTAAATCAGAGGAGGATCCCCAAAGTCAGTCCAGAAGACTTTGTTTAGAGCCGTCTAGTCATTTATAATACTGGGCGGATTCATGATACTGGCTAAAATAAATTATGCATTCAAAAACTCTTCTCTGACTTGACACTGACATTTAGCAAGAGTGTTTGCTTCTAGTGCTGGCCCTCCAGGTCCCACAGATCCTTTAAAGCCCCTGACTATCCCTGCCACCTCCATACCCCAATACCTTGCTGTAACTTCTTCTGTGTTCTCTTGGCTTCATTTAACAGTTTATCGCTGTCAGAACTCAGAGTCTTAGCTTTTCTTGGAAGATCTTCCTTTATCACTGTCTGAAAACAAAGTGTTTGTCAGCCTTAACCATATGCTACGCATTAGAAAATACAGAGTATGATTTTTCACCACACATCCAAAACCCTCATCTTTAAAGGATGAAGTCTGAAGTGAGAAAGGACTAGAGATGGTTAGGACTGCACACAGACATCTGTGGCTCGGGGAGGTAGACCCATCTCTGATAACACACTGGCCAAGCGTAGGACGGTGTCTCAGCTGCTCACCGTCACCTGAAAACAACCCTCTGCAATAAGTGAAGAGAGAATTTAGCGCCCCAGCTTTGGGGTGTAAAAGTGTTCAAACCACCAAGAAGGTCTAGCCCTCCGTCATATTTAATATTTTATCCTTTCTTTTTCAGCTATAGGACGATATATTGTGTATGTAAGATTCCACATGAATTCACAGACATGACCAGATATAAGGTAGAAACACGGATCAAATTGTTTACAAAAATCCCTTTTGGGTTAATGCTAACAATTTACTCACAAGCATAAAAGTATACCTGGTAAACAGGATACATCATGTGTTTAGGTTCAAAACCAATAATTAGTATAATTTCTCTCTGGTTTTATAGATAAGTTTTCAACTCATCTAATAGTCAAGTAAACAAGGAAAGACCTTTATCTAGAGCAAACTCAAGTCCATTCTATACAGTAACTTCTGATTTAAAATAAATGCTTTTGGGCCAGGGATTTAGCTCAGTGGTGCTGCCGCCTGCCTCACAAATGCAAGGTCCTGAGTTTGATCCCCGGTACCAAAAAATATAAAGAATAAGATACAATTAATGCTTTTTTTTTTCTGCAATTCTCCAGGCACATAGAAAGAGCATAAGAAACTAAGCTGCTTCCAGAGCAAATCTAGAGATGCTGCTGGTGCTGGTGCCCACCTGAAGAGCAGACTCGGACGCAGTGGTGGCTTTGTTGGCTGCGTCCTCAGCTGCCTGGATGGCATTAAGGATGTTCTCATAGGCAGTGGCAGCGTCCACGGCACGGCGTACCAGCTCATCCCCACTGGCATTTCTTTTTATCCTGGAAGACAGCAATGGGTGAGGAGGGCAAGGTCCTCCAGCGCCTTCCCTGCCTGTGGCTGCATCCTAAGTAGTGGACACCAGAGGCAGTGGTCTCTGCAGATCTGCCTCAGAGATGCGGTCTGGTTCTGCCCTGGCAATGAGGTCTGGGCTGTGGATCCTGGGTGGGGTTTTGTTTGGTCAAGGCCTTCCGCCCTGTTCTGGCGCCTGCCTCACCCAGCAGAGGTCCTGGCTTGGTGCTCAAGTGGCCCGTGGCATTTGGATCTCCCCAGGGCCCACACTTACTCTTCCAGCTGCTTTGCCAGCTCTTGTAAAGACTGTGCGTGTTTTTCTGCCTGCACCACCAGGGACTCTTGGCTGGAAGATCTGGAGAGATCTCTCACTTTGTCACTTAGTTCCAATCTAGCTTCATTTAAAGTGGCTGCTAAGTTTTCATATTCCTATTTTTCCAAGAAAAGACAAAAGAAATTCAAGCAAAGAATTCATGCTCTGTTTTCTCAAACTCTGCCATGAATGATGTTTCTGTGAGGAATCATGTATTCTAAGCCTATTTAGCACACCGGTGAATCTTTGTTACTTCAGACAGTGCCGTGGATGACATCCCCCTACTTTTGCCATCCCTTTGAGTATTTTTCTTCTGGCAGGTACCCCCTTTAGTAAGTTTTATAAAAATCGCAATGTCATTATCAAAGTAAACTTCTACTAAAACAGTGGAGTCTTTATGATATGGAAATAGCTAGCATTGAAGATACTTTCAAAAATGCCCATTGGGCGACTAGGAAATTTTGCCACTTTTTTTTTCTCCAGTCTTAAATTTTTTCTATTAATAAAAATATTTGGGGTTTTAAAAATAAGCATTCTATTTTTTTTTTTAAATCCCAGAAGTGACTCGCTCACTTCAGACAAATAAGGTAACGCAGATGAGCATCTTCCATACCCCACCCCCAGGGAAAACCACTGTGAACATTTTGATTTTGCTTTCATCTAAAAGAATCAAAGAAACAAACAGGTGAGTCCATCTTGTAAACTCTTGGCAGCTCGACTGAAATGTTTCCCGATCTTCTAGGGAATGCGAGGTCCTCTCTACCTTCCAGTTTTTGTCCACTAGCTGCAGCATAGAGCTGGTCTGTATCAGAGTCGAGTCTGCTGTGCTCAGGTACTTGGAGAATTCGCGCTGCAGGGAACTGATTTCTTTCACCTGTCTCTGGAGAGAATAAAAAGGACATGCACCTGAGCTGCATGACATATTATCAGAAGACACAGACCCGGAACAACAGCAAGTACACAGTCAGGGTCAGAATGTTTTCATGAACCTGAAGGTGGTCGAGGCAACTACAGAGCGATGGCCCTCAGTTCTCCTGGCAGTGTTGGTGGTTGCCATGGTTTCGTCTAGGTTTCTACACAAGGTCAAGTTAACCAGTGACATATGACTAAGTTCTGGGTTAACTCAACCAGTGGTCGATATGACTAAGCTCCAGTTTGGGGAAAAGAATGAGAGACTTTAACTGAACAAATCAGGGCCAATCATTACTCTGCAAGTCAGTGCCACAGAAGATGTAATGGGCACTTGAATGAGAGATGGCCCAAGACCAGTGCACGCCAAGCTGAGAACTCCCAAAGGTCACGCCCATACTACTGGAGCCTGCTCTCTTTGCTGGCACAACCAGCAAAGGTATTATTCAAACAAACGTCTTATTCAAACAGATACTATTCAAGCAGAGATAATACCATCTAAGCCGGTCTTGGGAGCTGGGTACAGTCACCTGCTAAGACATCACTGACTGTCATTTACCAGGTTTCTCTTCTTTCTAGGATTGGTCCTGTGTTACTTAACTCTGATCTTCCTGCCATTTCTTTAACCCTTCACGTTTTTATTGTTTTGGTGCATGATGTTCACCATCAAAAATATAAACTATGAATCCTTGAGTTCTAAATTCTGTCACTGAAGCTTCTGTAAGTGACCTACACTTTAACTTATATTCTATGTGGCAGGTAATCACTTCAAGTGCCTCTGTAGGGGACTGTGACAATGATGTTGACATGTTTGATACAAGATGTATTTAAAACATAAAATATGTCTGTATTCATGCTAACACGATTCATTTCTCATCTACTTGGCAACATTATTCTTCCAACAGTTTCATCCAGGGGCAGGATGAGGCAGTTTGGGAGGCTTTACCTGTGGCTTAAGTTCAGAATCTTTTCTGGTAGCTGAGGAGTAGAAATAGTTCTGGGTTTGCACTTAAGCCTTGGTCCTGTTGGGTCAGGACCTGAGTTTGTATAACCAGATGGACACCTGGCCGTGCCAATTTATTCATAACAAAGCTCCCTGCTCCCCTCATCCTTACTTTAATGAAAGCATATGGCTTCCAACTGCAAGCTTACCTTGATGGATCCCAAAGCTCTCTCATTTTCGTGGTTGAGGCCAGCAGCCTGCTTGGCCTGGGCAGCTGCCTCCTGGATCATGGCCTGCAGGTCATGGAGCTTGGCCTCATAATCGTTCAAAGAATCTTGTATATTCTTAGCGAGTCCATCATTTCCCACCTGGTGGGTTTCCAGCCAGCTCTTTATCCGGTTCAGCACTGTAATATATTACTTTATGTCTTCCACTGGAAAAATACTAGGAGATCGAGACTATAGAAGGGAAATCGAGTTCCTGCTCAATTACTGGGTTTCCCTGAACTTTGGAGGGAATGGAAAAGGACACTAAGATTTATGCAGAGCCGTTACAATGGTACCTCGGTTCACGAACTTAATTCTTTCCATGATTCTGGTCGCAAACCAAATTGGACAAGAAACAAATCAAATTCAATGGTTAGGTTCATTGCTTCCCTTGGCATCCGTGACAATCACACAAAAGTGGTAATTATCATTCTCATGCTACTGATAAGGAAATGGAGGGCTGAGAAATTAGGGGGTCAACTCAAGGTTATACAGCTACTCAACCTGGCCTTGAGCCAGAGCTGTAGGGTGCATTCTCCTACTGCTAAGGCTGCTTCCTTATAGTTAAAAGCCAAACTGGTACTACATCTGAACATCACAAATGCTACAAAGAAAACAGCTGCTATCTGTGTATTAACTCCAGCTACATTATTTTACTAGAGAACAAACCTTGAGGGGAAAAAAAAATGCACCTTTCTTAGTTCTGAGGTAGTTAGAACCTTCAGAAATATCCTATCAATTCGTGCAAAATTCATTTTTTGTTTTTATAATTGTAGCACTAATATCAATTTACAATGCAAAACCCAACAGTGGTAAGGAGATCATTAAAAGTGATATTATAAGAAATTTGGAAAGAGATGAATGAGGATCAGAAGGATGAAAATGTAGTTTAAAAGGGGAAAAAAAAGCACGAATATCTCTAAATTTTAGAGAACATATTTTTGGTTGCTTGTTTTTTGCACGATGGTAGGATATTATATTCTACAGTACTGGAAACATGAAGAAAAGATTCTTGTCCCCCTAATTCCACTGTGTGACACTCTAACAGTAATAATATTCTCAGGAATGAGACACCTTCCGCTTGCACAGGGGTGTCTGTAGGGAAGTGTGCACATTGTGTTCAGAGCCATACAGGGGCGGTTGCCTGAGGGGTGTGGGGCCTTACAGAGCTGGGCTTCTCTTTCCTCAACCTCGGCTTCTTGCAGGGGCTTCCCAAAGTGTCGGCTCCGCATCTCCGTCAGCCTGCGTTCAGCCTCGGCCAGCTCCCTGGAAAAGTCACCTATGGGCAAGTTGTTTCCTCCTCCTTCTCCACCTGTCCCGGAGATCTGCTTCAAGAGAACTGGAAAACATTGCGTAGTTTATTAAACTGGGAATTCTGGGCTCCAGTAAACTACTTAAAAAAAAAAAAAGGGCAGAAACTATATTGGAGATTTCATCAGTTTTGCTATAGGATCTTTTTCATCATGTTGAACTCTCAGAAGGAAATCTCTCTGTGTAACAAAGGCCCGAGTAATTTTTCTTACTGTGCACATTCTGGATGACATTTTTAATCTTCATGTCCAGCTCTTTTGTGCTCTGGATTGTTCGGTCAACATTGTTATATAATGTTTGTGCTTTTCTGGAATTTATTTGAGCCTGTACAAAAAAAAAAAAAAGTTGATTTGCAAAAGATTATGTTTTTAGGGGAAAAAAACTAAAAAAATTTTGAAAGCAAAAAAAAAAAAAAAAAAAAAAGTTAGCTCAGTGGTTCCACTGCCTGCCTTGTAAGCGCAAGGACCCAAGTTTGATCCCCAGTACCAAGAAAAAAAAATTAAAGGTAACTGATGTTAACACACTACCTTTTCTTGCAAAGTTTCAAACTCGTGATTCAAATTACTCAGTTCTTTTTCCAGGCCATTCACTTTTGATCCATGATTTGAAATAGCAGAACGATAGTGGAGCAACTGATTCTAGAAGGAAAACACAAAGCTAATCTCATTTTGGAGTAGAAATGTAGGTTAAGTCCCAATAATGTGATAAATGTGATCATACTGAAAAAACTCATTTAACAAAAGTAATGTCAGTTCTACAGGTGGAAAATATGGTTCTTTTTTTGGTTTGCTTGGTTTTTTTGGTACTGGGGATCAAACTCAGGACTTTGCCCTTGTGAGGCAGGCAACAAATCTTTGAAATAGATAGATTCCATGAAGAATCTACTTTCTGAAAGATATTGTGATATGGCTTGAAAATTAAGGCACTTTCTGTCACTATAACAAAGATCCAAGATAACTAATGTAAAAAGTTGACTTTGGTTCACAATTGAAGAGGTTTCAGTCCATGACTGGTTGGTTCCATTGCTTGGGCCTATTTTAAGGCAGAATATCATAGCGGAAACATGTTGTAGAGCGAAATTGCTCACCTTGTGGTAACCAGGGAATGGAAGACAGGAAGTAGAGACTGAAGTCCCATAATTCCCATTGAGGTCATGACACCACCAACCAGAAGACCTCCCACAAGGCTCTGCTTATTAAAATGTCTACTACCTCTCAATAACACAACTCTAGGGAACCAGACTTCCACACCTGGATGGGCATTTGGAGGACACTTAAGATCCAAACTACACCAGTATCAAATATAAAAAACTTGAAAGGAGATACTTTACTTAAATTAATGATCTAGCCTTATAGAAATAAGGGTGATACTACTTATCTGATGTTTTGATTTCCAGATTCTATACTAACATTTAGTCTTTTAAAATCTGTAGTTAACCACTTACTAGTCCAATTACTTATATAAAGGATGAAAAAATTGCATATTTTAAAATTTATTTTATAACAGGAAATATAAAAATAATTTTATCAAATTTATTCAATAATTCTTCTGTGTATAGTATGCCTTAAAACATTCAATACACAATGCAACATTTCAATCTGGACAGTAGACCTAGGCTCTTTCCAAATTCTTTTTGCATTATTGTCTTTCTATGAACAACACACTTTACACTGTCCTGTTGGCCTTTTCTTTTTTTTTTTCCCTCTGTGGGTGCTGTACTTTTAATAAAATGTCTACCCGCTAAATGTGATGGTGAAGACATCGATGATGGATGCCCTGGTTTTTTTTTTTTTGCTAGCCTGTATTTTCCAATTATTTGGTCTATCAGACCTAATCATAAATGTAAATTACTTTTTGAATCCCCTTGTTTTGAATAAATAACAAATGAGTTCCATATTCTCTGGTTTTAGGATAGCTTGTTAGATGTTGGTCGAATCTGACAACACCACCCATGGAGTTATTATAATCATTAACCACTATTGGAGTTTTTTAGTTTCTTTCTTTCTTTAAAGGTCTATCATTTCTGTACTATGAATAGTTGACAATAAGATGTCTTTTTGTCTTTCTGCTTTATAACAGACTTTTCCTCTCTGATATGCCAACATCTCTCCCTTTTTAGTTTTTTCTTTTGCAGATCTTTTGGCCCTTCTTTCCTGTTCAGTCTCAGGGTCTCACACAGGTAGTTTTGTATTGCAAAAGTATATCACTGAGTTCTGGAAAAGTATAAAAATTATATCTAATGTGATCACTATAAAAGTTTTTATAGACTATAGCACAAAATTACAAATCTCTATGAATAAACATGAGTTAGTCAAAGAAAGTAACCAGAACGTACTACTAGATTTTACTAAAAACAAATATCAAATATGAATACAACGTTCTCAATAGAAAACATGCAAAAAAAAAAAAAAACAAACAGACGTACGAGTGCATCTCATGCAAACAAGAATCTACTGCTTGAAATTACACTTTCTGGAGGGACCCTGGGAACAGTCAGTATGTGAACAAACCTCCTACCCAAGACAGTAGCGTGTTAAGTGGTTAATCTGCTAACACTAAAAGTAATATAGATGGTGACTTCATTAGATGAACCATTAGATTCACAGGAGTCCAATTTAAAAGAACTTTCAGGGAATTCAGAGCTCCTATTACTAGTCAGAAAATGGAAGCTGATGGAAGTTAAGTGATCTGTCCATGGCTATGTAGCCTACTAGTGATTGCTTCAGGTTGCTATCCAGGCCCCTGGTCCTTTCTTTTTTTCAGTTTTAATTGAGTTTATTGGTACATTTTAGGGATACAGTATAGTTACATTCATTGTTGGGATCTTGTACCTCTACATGACAAGTCTTGGTTCTCATTTATTCCCCCTGTCCCTGCCCTCCATTCACCCCCTCCTCTCCTCCCCATCTACAAACACTTTATTTCCATCTTTTCATTATCTCACATTTTTTTCTTTTCCCTTATTACCCTTCCCCTACCTATCCCACCTTCCCTACACCTTTAGCTCCTTTCTTCCCATTTCTCAATGTCAGTAATCTTATTAGGATCTTCTGTATTATTGCAGATTATTCACACCAGAGAAACTATTCAGTGTTTACACGTGTGCCTTATTTATTTCACTTAGGAGTATATCTTCAATATGTATCCATTTTCCTATGAATGAATCTATTTTCTCATTCTTTATGGCTGAGTAATATTCCATTTCTTTATTAATGTTTTATTTATTTATTTTTGGTGCTAGGGATCAAACTCAGTACCATATACTTGCAAAGCAGGTGCGGTGCCACTGAGCTAAACCCCCAGACCCTGGTCCTTTCTTAGTACTAAATTCCCTCATTGCTTTTAAAGGGTGACATTGCTACACATAGATTAGGGTTACTGTGATTCCCAGATTAGTGATTATTTTCAATTTTTTAAAATGTAATAACTTGAAAAAGTCAACAAGTAGAAATGATTCTATTGCCTCTATTTGTACATCAGAGCCAGTGTGTGGTAAAAGAAGACATGCTTAACTGTATATGTGTAAACCCTGTGTCTACTGCTTAGGAGATGAGCCTCATGAAGCCTTATCCCCTCTTCATCAGCAAACTGTGAATTGTAATATTAACCTGCAGGCTTACTTTGGATGATAAGTTCATAATACTGCTATTGAATCACCACAGAGGGTGCTGATATAGCAAGAAACCAGTTCTATTTGAATTTGCTGACAGGAAATCTGGGGCGCACTGCTTCACCGATGTTAGCAGAACACCTGGGTAAGAGGTACGCTGGGTAAAGCATAGTCTTAGACTTTGGTCTTGATTTGAATTCTTTTGGAGCCTCCTAGTCCTAGCTGTGTGGTTTTAGGCAGCGTTTCCACACCTGTTAAATGTAAGATCACTATTTTCCTGATGGGGATGTTGTGACCCTTGAGTTAAGCACTTGACACATCCCAGCCCAGAGTATGTGTGCAGAAAAGTGAAGATGTGTGCTATCCAAGAGAGCAAAGTTAACTCACACAGTTTCCTTATTGCTTACAACCTAAAGGTTATTTTACCCTCTCCTCTATATTAAGCCTTTACACCACAAACTAAAATTACTTTGAGGGGATGAAAAGGAGTCATTTCTCTAGAATTACTTTTGGCTAAATATACTCTGCTATACCCACTAGAATCAGCCCTTCTTCCAAAAGCATTTATTAAAATTTCCCCCAAAGCCTCTTTCACTGAGTCTAGCCTTGGATTTATCTCATTTACTAAATTCTTTTACTTAAATGAACACATATTGTTTATTTCCCTTATTTTCAATTTGATCTGCTCTTCTCCACCTTTCTTGTTTAATTTCTAGTGGTCTTTTCCCCCTTGAATTTCCCTGTTTCTTACTCCTTCTAATGGATACTACTATTTAATTTTGGATTGTCCTACTGTTTACATTTATCTAATGTCCATCCATCTTTCAGGTGTTGCTTCAGTTGGGTATCATCCTTCCTGCCATCTATCTGTTAAAATGTTACAAGCTCTTTGGGCTCAGTGGCCCTCAGTATCCCCCGGAGAACCTGATGCAGCACTGTGGGGCACTTTAGACCCATTCTTGTACCTGTCAAGTGCACAGAGAACACTCACCTGCATGGACTACATTCCATAACTATGGAATGAACCTTAACACATTCGAAAGAAATGAAATCATATAAAATTCATTCTCTAACCACAACAGTTAATTAAAACTCAATATTAGAAAGTTATCTGGGGAGTTCTCCAATTTGTAAGTCAACACCACATTTCCAAATCAGTCATAGGTTAAAGAGATGTAAATGTGAATGAGAATGGAAAGATATTTCCAAATCTATGGGATACAGCAAAAGAAGCACTATGGGGAAGAGTTTATGGAATTAAATGCTTACATTAACAACAATAAATGTTTTGAATCTGTAAACTAAGCTTTCCCCTTAAACTAGAAAATGAATAGCAAATTATACCAAAGCAAGTAGGAAGAAGAAAAAAATATGGATGAGAACAGAAATCAGTGGAACTGAAAAAGAAAAACGATGAAGAAAATCAATGAAGTACATCAATAAAGTTGATCAACATCTAGCTAAAATAATCATCAGAAAGAGATAAGCATAAATTATCAATATTAGCAATGTATGAGAAAATATCACCACAGATTTTTGCAGATATTAAAAGGTTAGCAAAAGAACATTATGAATGATTTTATGTTAACAAATTTGGCCATTTAGATGAAAGAACATATCATTTGAAAGACAAAGACTACCAAATATCACCAAGAAGAAATAGATACCTGAGTACTCTCATACCTATTTTTAAAAAATTAAAATTATGGCTGAAAAACTTCTAACAAAGAAATTCCCAGGCTCATTTGGGCAGAAGAATTATATTCATTTTATATAAACCCTTGAACCCTTGCTTGGATTGTCTGAATACAAGATGGATGCTGAGCTACAGACTCTATGGAAAAATGTAGCCTGGAAACACCGGGTAATGAGAAATGTGCGCTTTGAAGTGCTTACCGTTCGTGCTCACAAGCACTTCCCACCAGTGAGAACCTAACCTTCATTTGTATGAGAGGAAGAAGGAACCTTGCAAGCACTCTATGGAGTGAGCATCTCTCCTCTTCTCCCACTTGAGCAGTATTCATTCACACAGTCCACTGAATTGGAGGGCTCTGTTACCCACAGATTCAACTGAGGATGGGAAATACTGGGGGATAAAACCCACTGCATCTATACTGAATGCTACAGAAAATTTCTTGGCATTATTCCCTAAACAATACCGTGTAACAGGTGTTTGCATAGCATTTACACTGTATTAGGCATTATAAGTGGGCTAGAAGTGGTTTAAAGTATACACGGATTATATGCAAATACCACACTTTATAGAAGAGACTTCAACATCTGCAGGTTTTGGTATCCGTGGGGGTTACCAAGGTACCGCTGCATTCACTGAGCATCTATTCCCTCCTGCCCCAGGGGGGATTTACCCTCAGGTCCTTGGCTTGGGTCTCCATGTGCTGAATCTGCTCCAGGGCACCAGAGCTGGCACTCAAGCCCTGCAGTTGAGACTTGACCAGGTGGAGCTCTTCGCCCATGGTGGCCAGGTCATTCAGGAGCGTCATCACGCAGCTGTCACAGTCTGCAGGGACCACAACCAGAGGCAAAAGTGCTTTAGGCTGGAGCCAAGTGAAAGTGAAGAGAACCGAGCTGTATGGTCCCGTTGATTTACGGAGTGCTTGCTACTACTGTCTAGATATTGTGCTACGAGATTTCCAAGCGCTTCCCCAAAAGCTTTGAGGTAGGTGTAGTCACTGCGTCTATTTAACAAATGTTGAAAGTAGGGCTTTTCAGGCACCTACTGAAGGTCACACAGCTAGTAGTCAACAGAGGCCATGCGTGATCCCTCCTCTTAGCCACTGCATGTCCCGCCATGGGGCTCATGTGCCTTAAACTAAACCCCACACTTGGGAAGGGAGGAAGCTTTCCCGTCTTACCATCGCACTCTTCTGCAGGGCTGCTGTCTTTGGGTTCTTGGCTTACACAGTCTGAAAACAGACAAAAACCAAAGAAGACTCTGTTATTGAACTTTCTCTTCATCTGCCTTTTAACTTGATTTTCAGAACAGTGAATTTGAAGAGATTTTAGTCACCCAACTACTCAGCATCATTGGTCCTTATCCGCCTAACCCCAAACCTCCAACTCCCAAGTCACTTTTTAACAGGGCTGCTGCAGGAACTTCTCTGTGGCTCACTTGATTATATTCCTTTCATTTCTTCTCTAAGCAGTGAGTGCCACCTCTCTGGAGGGCCATGCATTTCTTACCAACGAAAACACCTACTTATGAGGTTAAGGCTTTCCCCACTGGATAGCCCCCTGTGTGTTCGCACTCTTTCCAGTACCATTCAAGATCCAGCACCTCTGAGCACCCACCATGTGCCATGGCCCTGTGCAGGGTACAGGAAATAGGAGACATCAAGACAAAATCCTGGTGTCTTGTGGTGTAACAGTCTGGGAGAGGCAGACAAAAGACAAAATGGTGTGACCGATACTGTGAAGGAGATTGGCACACCACATTGTTGGGCTGGCCTGTCAGTAATGTGCAAGGTGAGTTTTGAGACCCTCAAGTACAGCTCAGGGGAGCCCAGTGGTCACCCTTGGATTTTCTTTACGCCTCCCTCTTTCTTTTCCCCATGCCATGAATTACGATAAAATGTACTCTGAAAAACAATCCAACTTCCCCCCAGTAAAACTCTAGCTAGAAGTTCATCTAAATGTGGCCCTTTTGTATTCTAAATGTGTCAGAGAAGGCAATCACCACCTTTCCCAAGTGTGTGTCCTCTGATAACTGAGGAGGCGGGTCTCCTATATTTATATCCGCATCAGAAATACTGAAAGAAATGCAGCCGGGAATCAAATCCGAGACAAGTCAATAAATATTCCCACTCTAGATTAGCATTAATCTATTTACTCTGCCTTCTTTTGGGAATAGTTCCTTGATCAGATCCAATCCACACATTTAGGGTTTAATTTTCCACATTACCCATTACTGTTATTATTTTTTATTTTTTATTTTTTGGTACCAGGGATCAAACTTGGGTCCTCGCACTTGCGAGGCAGGCGGCGACACCAACGAGCTAAACACCTGGCCCTCATTACCCCTCACTGTGAGAGATTTTGTCTAAGTGATTGACACTAAATCAATGGCATTTCCTTGTTAAATCATATTAATATTTTCTCTGAAAAAAGGAAGAGGATTGTCATCTTTTTGTTGTGAGTTGCTCCTAACGAATTCATACCAACTTTGAAAAGTTATCTTTTCCTTGGTATGTAAGACCCACCCCAATTACCTGCCCAAATCTCAGAACATGTAGATATCAGAGAAAGCCACTTTGATTTCCTCAGAAGTACACATGGAGAAAGTGGATGTGAATATTTTCTTACCATGTCAGAGGGAGACCTCAGCGAAACCACCAATCTGAAGGGGTTTTAGCTATCATTAGTTGAATTTTAAAGATAATTTATTTTTTAAAAATAATTTATGTAATTCCTTTACCCAAATTGTAAATAACACCTAGTGCATTCCCAGGTATTATTTCTAGTTGTCAGAGCAACGGAACTATTTGCTAGCTGAAATTGTGTATCATGCTTCCTGGAAATTTGTGCTTGGGTCCTTAGGCTCTTACTTTAAACCAAATTTATCCATTCAGGTTAGCAGAGGATGTGCATGGACCTTACCTCCGGTGATGGGGTCACAGGTGCCCAGCTGGCCATTGCCATTACAGTGGCAAGGTTGGCAGCTACCTCCAAACTTCTGAGGGTTCCCAAAGTATCCCGGCGCACACCTGAACGGAACACAGAAAGGGTGCGAAATGCTCAAATAACTCACCATTATTCCACTTCACTTTCTCTAACTCCCTTCTGGGGATATTGCGCCTCTGTGGAAAGAAAGGTGGCCTAGATTGGCAAGAATGGATATTTCTCAATACAGGGATATTTACCCTTAAATGAGACTGGCAAGAGGAGGTACGCTGTGAATGTTCCTTTCCTCCCTTCCTGCTCCCAGAACTAGCAAATCCTAATAGCCACACAGCTGAAAATGCACACATGGGCAAATAAATGAGTTAGTCAATATATAAATCAGGGCTAGCTGACTTTTACCGAAGGCTCCTGTTCCTGAAGATATCCCACAATTAAATATTGCTTAACTTAGGGCTCATTTCCTCACAAAATACATTTAAAGTGAGATTCATGGCTGGGCGTGGTAGCGCATGCCTGTAATCCCAGCACTCGGGAGGATGAGGCAGGAGGATCGCTGTGAGTTCGAGACCAGCCTGGGCTACATAGTGAGTTCCAGTTCAGTCTCAACCACATAGTGAGACCCTGTCTCAAAAAAACCAAAAACAAAAAAAGAGAGAGAAAGTAAGAGTCACGAACTTCAGATTTCTGCACAGAGGAGGACTTCTTCTTATTTCCTAAATGCATTATTTTCAGGCTGCATAACTCATATGGGCACCAACTGCTGCAATGCCTCTTACAATGAGCTGAGGCAACTGAGAGCAGTTACAGTTGCTGTCTCTGCCCATGCCCTATTATTACTGTAGATCAGCGATGGCAAACCTCTTAGAGCTTTCAAGGATAACAAACAGCTGGCTGTGGCACGTGTGCCATAGGAGCCACCATTGTTAGTGATAAGAACTCAGTTCCTGGCTTACGAGTTTAAAGCTCCTATCTCTTGATGCTTAGATCCTGGTTTTTGTTTTGTTTTGTTGTTTTTTGTAAAACAAGCACACATTAATGTTTCTGGAGTTAGAATGTCAATTAAAATACTTCCATTTAGAAGAGCTTCACTCTCCAGCCCATCATGCCCAGATTCATATTAAATTGTTATGTGGTGTCTTACAGTCAATGGAATGGATAGAATTGGGGAAATATGGTAACTCTTTCCCAACACTGTAAGCTTGGCATAAAAAAGAAATTGCTGGGCACATTCAGTATACGTTACCAATGGATACGTGGTGACGTAATGCAAAGGGTATGGGTTAGGGGTCAGGAAGATCTGGCTGGATCCCCGCTTCCACCCCTTGCTATTGAGATCTTAGGTTTTTGTCCCGACCCTTTGAGCTTCTGTTTCTTCATCCATTCCCTTCACAGGAACATAAGCTCCAAGAATTCATGGGGGATTTCTTTTTGTCTGTTTTGCATACTAATACACCCCTAGCACCTGGGGTAGTTTCCCGCATATATCAGAAGCTAAATTCTAATTTGTTGGATGGATGGGTGAATGAACGAATGATTGGGGTACTAATACCTATTTTGGTCAGTGTGTATAAGAGATAATGTAGTAAAACCCTACCACAATGCCTGCACATAATAGCAATGAATGTAAGACATGATGATATTTTCATTTTATAACTGGTACTGGCTTATTGCATTCTTAAGGTAGATGGGAAGCAGAAACTTCATGGATTCCCTAATTGTCAAGAAAGTACCTAGGCTGAGGTAGCTCATCTGAGTCTACCAAGCTGGGTGGGAAAAATACTAATAATAGGGCTTTACTTTGTGACCTGCCTCACATTCTAACAAAGGATGCTATGCAGAAAATCTGTGTTCTAGAACACTTTATTCTGATATGTCTTGTCTATATCTGACCTTTATATGTAAAAATCACAGAAGTACAAAGTACCTTCTATTAAGGTCACATAGAAATTTGGGAAGTTTGTGTCCTTTTTCTTATTCTTACAAAGCATTAGTTACTGATTATAAGAAATAAATGGTTCTCATTCTTGTTTTATGGCTATAAACAATGAGTTTAAATAAGAGTTCCTGATTTCATGGATGATAGGAGAAGAAAACATATTTGTCACCTGTGGCTCTGGGTGACAAGGGACAGAGGTCAGCTGAGCCTGGTGTAACTCGGAGCTGCCCCTCCTCCAGCCAGCTAGACTCCTACTTTTCACCCTCTGCGGGCCCCGATTTACCAGTCTGTACTGAACACCTCGTGCCAGGAATGATGCTTGCACGCCCAGTCTGTGTTTGACAAATGAAAATGTCGACATCAACGCAACATCTCCTTGTGAAGATGTTTTTTTCTTAAAAAAAATTTAAGAAACAGCTCACTTTCTTGAGACATCAGATGTAACAAACAAAAATAGAGAGAACTGTTAATTATAATTTTCTCTTCAAATAAGCTGTCTGCCAAATACCCTGACGCCTTGTCAGCCTTGTTGCTGTTCGTGGCTGCGCTGTTCGCTGTTCTTAGAGACTCACTTGGAGGGGTCAATGTTAAGCCTCAGTCAGGTTGAGCTTTTAATGCTCAAGGTCTGGAACACCTGCCTGGCCCCTGGCCCCACCCGCCCTTCCCCGACACCTCCTTCCTCCCTCACCCTACAGCTGGGTGGCTGCCCTTTCACTTGGGACCTGACTCAGCCCTCTTCCTAGCCATCCTCCTCTGTCCCCGCTTCATTTGCTAAAGTGTCCCTAGCGCTCAACCCAGGGCCATGCACCATCTAGGACACCCATACATTTTGTCTATAAGAAACGAATAAATAAGAGAAATGTCCTTTTGCCGAAATGGAAAATAAAGAATCTCTCCTTGGTCCCTGTCTAGGCACGTTGATAGTGGCTACTCAGTGTCCCCATGAGCCAGGCAGTCCCCACTTTCCACACATAGCAGCTCCTCAGTTCCAGGGCTTTCTTGTATTTCTCCAACTAAGTCACCTTCCACCTTCCTCCTCCCTCCTCCCACTCCACCAGGCTCTAGTCATCCCTTGGACCTACTGAAGTCCTGCCTGGTCCACAAAACAGTTTTCAAGACCCCCATCTCAAGTGCCCATGCCCTACTAAGAAATATAGTTGAATTAACTGGTTTGTTTGTTTGTTTTGTTTTGATACCAGGGATTGAACTCAGGACCTTAAGCTTGTGAAGCAGGCAGTGAAACCACTGAGGTAAATCCCCAGCCCTGGTCCTTTTTGTGTTTTGTTTTTGTTTTTTACAATTTGGAAAAACTCTCTGTCAGAATGACAAAGGAAACAAAGGTGATAAAGGGAGACTTACCCAGCCAAATATTCAAAGGCATTTTATACTTTCAGAAGGGTTATCTAAGTGATAATGACACATGAGTCAAATACAAATCCAGCTCTGTATAGAAATTCTGTACACACACATTTAGCTTTAGTGAATTCAGCTAAGTTTGCTAGGTCAAAGGGAATGAGCCAGGAAATACAATGGAAAGTGTACAAGAGAGGGCAAAGTAGCAGAGGTCTGTCCTCTACTCACACAGTGAGCTCACATCCGGAGTTGGGGAGAGGGTGGGTAGGGATCTGGAGATCCCAGTCCACCCCACTGCCTGAGCATCTCTGAGCACAGTTGGGGACACTACACTAACCAAGCACCTGATCTACTTTGTGCAAGGTGGCCTTGGATACTTGAGGGATGGGATGCAGGATATTCAAGGTTACTTGAACCTGGCCACAGAAGCTAAGCGTGGAAATCTGTTCATGACTCACGACAGCATAGCTCTATGGCTGCTCAGAATGAATTTTACACTTTCCTTTCCACAGCCTTTATCCTTGTGTTCCACAAAGATTACGGAACGCCTACTGTGTGAATGGCACCATGCTGGGTACCAGGGATTTAGAGATGAGCAAGTCACAGGCCGTCCCAAGTGTTCAAAACCCAGTGTGCCGATAGGGGTGTGTGTGTGTGTGTGTGTGTATCTGTGGATGCGTGCATGCAAGAGTGTATAAAGTTTGTGTTTACAGATAAGGCTGTGCATGGGTAGGGGCAGAGATGTGCATGTGTGGATCAGGAAGGTGCAGGAATGAGTGCTTCTGCAGGAGATGGGAGTATGTCTGGATCCTCACGGAGGAGGAGAATTCAGAGCATATGGTATAGGAGTTGGAGGTGTGGGGCAGCAGGAGCAGGGATGTGCAGAGGGGTTGTGTGGGTCTATCCCTGGGAGGGGAAGATCATATATGAAGACCAGGGGTAGTTGTGTGCGGGGGGGTCGTTGGGGGTGGGGCATGCAGGGATGAGTATGGAATTAGGGTGCATGGGGTGTGTGTTGGGTTATATAGAGCTCTGGGTATGCTGAACCTTGTTCTCAGATTTCTGAAATATGTACAAAGGAAGAAGGAGGAGGATGTTAATGATTTATTAAGTGAGAGGTCTTGTATTCTTCCCAAGGAGACCTTTCCCCAGCCCTAGGTAAAGGAACAGCCGCACCCTGCTGTGGGCCCTGGGCCCCGCCCTGGGCCCCTCCCACCCCACCCCCTTCAGACGGCCACACCCACCTCTCGCACTGGGACCCTGTGTATCCGGGTTTGCAGGTGCACTGAACGTTCCCGCCATTCACAACACAGCCGGTGGCAAAACTTAAAGGGAGACAAGGCCACAGTCAAAACACAAATTCACAGGCTTTATGCTTTGTTTGTTTCAGTACCGGGGATTGAACTCAGGACCTTGTGCTTGTGAGACAGGAACTAAGCCACTGAGCTAAATCCCCAGCAACCCCCCCTTCATGCTTTTTTTTTTTAACCACAAAGGGCTGGTTTGCGTTAAGTGAAAATTGAAACCCGTTATGAGGAAAGTTTTATGTAAAGAAATTCTTGCCCCTCAAGACTTACAGCGCTCACGATGAATCATTGCGGCTGACACAGGCCTAAGATTGGGAGAATAAGGACTAAGGTGTTTGTTTTATTTCTTCCCTTGAGATGGAGCAAAGGAACTCACTGAGGAAGAGATGATTACAACAGCATTTTTCCAGCAATAACAAGAAAGGAATACAACAAGTTCACGCAGGAAAAAAAGTACAGAGAGCTCTGATTCTTTTTAATTTTTTTTCTCCCTGCTTATTCTAGTTTTTTGTTACATTGAACACACTGCCAGCAGGGAGGCCAGGCCCACGGAGCCCACAGGAGCCCAGAGCTTGCCCCCCTGCCCTGGTGTTTCTGTGGGCATAATCCTTGGTCATTTTCACATTTTTCCAACCAAGGATGGAATTTTGATTCCATTTCTTTTTTCTCTAAACTGACCTGAGAAGAGACTCTCTCCCACCCCAAGAAAGAGACCACGAAAAAGCCCAGTCGCCTCATGAAACATCTGATGTGTGGGATGGATGTCACAGTGACATAAATCAGGGGAAACAGCTGCATTTATCATTTGCTGGTAAGAGAATTCACACTTGAGAAGTTACCCATGTCGTATTAGATGTTATACTTGTACAGGGACTGTTAGAAATTTGTCAGCGGTGTTGCTATTGCAGTTTGGAAGGACAATTTGATAAAAAGTAGTTTTCCTGATAAATCCAATGAACTGTTATTCCATCTTCACCAAAGCTGGAAGCCAACCCTGATGATAACAGTGCACTTTGCAACCAAACGTAAACTCTCTTTCCCGAGCACCCCAGTGGAAATCCTCTGCTTTCGACTCTTGCCAGCTTCTGTGGGAGCAAGTCTGGGCAGGTGTGGAGAGATAAATCCCCGAACAAATCAAACTGCAGGACCAGGCAGGCCAAGCAGGTAACACATGGTACACATAGCAAAGCAGGGCGAACACATCCAACAGGGAGCTCCAGAAAAAGTCACGCTTGGGCTCATGACTTGTGGGGCTGGTACAACCTGGCCAATTTGTCTGACATGGGGCTAATGGCAACCTGCCTTTCGGTCCATTCTTGTTCCTGAGCTTGCTTCTTGATTTTCAAACTAACTGCTGCTTTACTTAGTTGTCTGTTACACCGTTCTCTCCTTGGGCCCCATGATGACCACGTCACGATGAGCCCTAGGCATGTGACAAGGAGCCAGTTCATACCCAAAGCAGGCGGGGATCACCTTGAAAAGAAAATGCTGGGGGAGTCTCTGTCTGTGTGTGGAGTCTGCTGGCCACACGGGAGCCTGAGTGACCGCTGATTATGCCACTCAGGCTCAGAACTGTCCCCCGGCTTCCATCACACTGAGGCTGAAACCCCAGACGCCTGACCCAGCCTGCCAAGGGGGTGCGGGGTCTGGGCCCAGGCTGACCCTCTCCCCACCTCTCTAGCACTCTGGGAATGGAGGGAACAGGCACGCAAGTCCTCTAGCTTTCCTTTAGATGATCTTTAGAATCACCAATTTGGAGGTCACCCCGCTGAGCGATGCACCATTGGTCTCCCACTCACGGACACATAGGTCTCGGTGACAATGCTAGTGACTTCTCAGACACTTGGAGCTGCTTCTGTTGAAATGACCCCTTCTTAGGCCTGTGCAAATGTCCTCCATGCATGACTCTGCTGGTGCCAGTGGCTAAAACTCTTCATCTTCCATCAGGCTAACACTGCCATTTCCCAAACAGGCCTTGGATGGAGAGCTACGACCAACTGTAACATGGCTCGCTGACGACTCCCCTTTGCCTCAGCTCCAAGCACCTCTTCCTGTGCATTCAATCACCTTCCTTTTTAATCCCATAAAAAATCCTAAACCCTATCGTCGGGGGAAAAGAGTCCGAGACTTGTTCTCCTGTCTCCAAGCGTGGCTGCACGTGAACACATCCTCTGCGAAGCTCGTCGTTTCAGTGCCCAGCGTTACTGTGTGATGGGCACAGCGGCCCGGCTCGGCCGCACTCTCCTGCCTGTCCCTGAATGCATCTTCAGAGGTGCTTTCCCCACTGCGGCCTCGTGGCTGAATCTACTCGATGGGGCAGACTGATGATTCCAGTCCCTGTTCAACAGCTCCAGGCCTCCCTGGCCGCCCTTGAACACGGCCCCTCACTCACGACCAATCAGGGAACCCTCAAATCCCCCACCCCACCTGAAACTCCACTCCCTATTCATCTGCGTCTGGGTTATGCACACATACAGCTTCCCCAGCAAGTAGCCAGCGCCCAGGCCTGGTCCCATAATGAGTGCTCAGGAAATACATGTTTAGCTACTGAATGGACAGCACAAGAAAAGGAGAAAAGGAAAATCCCAGAAGTACACAACTCAGTAAGACTGCGGCTATTTGTCTGTCTTTCCTGTCTATTTGTTCATTTTTAAACTATAACCGCTTTATAGAGATATGATTTGCATACCAGGCAACGCACCCCATGTAACGTATATGATTCAGTGGCTTAGTATGGTCACAGACCGTGCAGCCACCCCCACGTAAAGTTCATAACGTTTCATCACTGCAGGAAAAAACCCCAGTAACCCCAGGCAGCCACTTTCCGCCTCCGATGCCTCTGCCCGCCCTCAGTTCTCGGCCACCACCAGACCGCTCCCTGTCTCCGCAGGTTGTTTGGAAGCCTTGCCATACCTGTTGGTGTGTGGACAGGGGCAGACCCTACAGGATCCGTGGGCGGCGCTCCCGTAGTGACCGTCCTTGCAGCGCTCACAGTGCTCCCCGGCCGTGCTGTGCTGACAGTTCTTGGGACAGAGGAACAGGACAATGAATGCACCTTACTCTTGCTACCTGCGGGGTCACTGTCATCCTACACAACTGTAACTCAAGTCCTCTGATTCTGAACCGGAAAAGACAGATGGGAAGCAGTGAATGTGCCAATTACCCGATTTGGGAATTAGCAAGTACATGGATCAAAATGTTACACTGCACCCCATAAGCATGTACGGGTGAGTCCATTAAGATTGTTTAAATTTAAGGACTGGATGGAAAATTAAGATATTAAAAATCCATTTTTTTCTAGATATAGAATCGTGCTAGAAACATAACAGACCAGGAAGTAGTTCTGAAAACTATGGAGGTCTTTGGGCTGTTGTTTGCACATTCCCATTTGATTATCACCAGAAAGCTCACCCTGTCTGGAATCTTCCTTCCTCCCCAGACCTCACCGCAGTGTGGGTTTCTCCTTTAGATTCCAACCCTGGGAGAGAGCCCGCCCTGTGGATGCTCCGCTCCACACAGGAGTTCTTGCAGGTATCAGATGAGGCTGCTAAAGACTTCCTTTGCCTTTCTTTTGCTCAGCTGATCTGCCTCACTCATAAAAATCCTAATTTTAAACTAACCATTCACTTTCCATTTTTGCTTTCTCTTTAAACGGCAGTTTTAAAGGAGAACATTCCCGATAGCTATAGTTTGGACCTCTGCTTACTTAGATCTGCAAGTGCAGGGACAAGGACTGCATGGAGGGTGCGCGGGTCTTACTAACAACACTGTCCAGTGGTGTGGGGAGGCTCATTCACACAACGTCCTCTCGGGGAAGGGCACCTCCCCCAGAAACGTTCATCATTAGCCCTGCAAGCTGGAGCCATCTGCCTGTTGGGTTTCCTTGCACCCTGCTGTGAATGAATGAATCAGGGCACGCGTGCATGAATGAGTGAATGAATGAACAAATGAATGAATGCCGCAGAAGCCCAAACCCGCACTCAGGGTGTGCTCTCTCGGCCCTATTCAACACTCAGCATCTACTATGCATTTACTATGTGCCCAACTATGCCAGGTACTACAGATGCAAAGATGGGTTGGTGCTGCGGCTGGGGAGGACAAACACCCCGACAAAGAGACACAGTCAATGTGTCCAGGAAGGCATGATGGCAAAGGAGCTCCAGCATCCCATGGGAGGAAAGACGGGGGCAGCAGGCCCTTCCGGAGCCCAGGGGAGGGCGCTGTGGGGGGTGCTGCCCACTGTGGGATGAGGGGGGTGGATTACCTGGGTGCAGAAGCCAGGGAGGGGCATTGCAGGCGCAGGGAGCAGAGCATGGAGAACCTTAGTCCTGGGACGGCATGGCAGCGTGTGGAGCAGCGAGTGAGATGCAACGGGTGTACTGCAGCTGCACAGCGCCCCAAGACCTCACAGAGGCCCAGGACACACTGGACGGGCCCGGTATAGGCGGAGCTCTCTCTGACAGCTCCAGCCCCAGAAGAGCGCTGTGTCAGCTGTGAGTTTGAGATAAGTCATTCAGGCTCAGTGGGAGAATAAAAAGTAGGAAACTAAAGGAAGAAAAGGGGGCGGGGTGCATGCCTGTGAAAGCCCAGTACTCAGGGGTCTAAGGCAGGAGGATCACTGCGAGTCTGAGGCCAGCCTGGAATACAGAGCAAGATCCTGTCTCGAAAAAACAAAAAGAGAAAAGGAAAGAAGAGAGAAAAGGGAAGGGATGTGAGAAGAGGGAAATCATCCTTTGTGGTAAAAGTGACAGATGGCAGAAGGCAGGCGATCTGGGAAGAGAGGAGAAAATACAGGGAGAGAGGAGATGGGGCCAGGAGAAGAAAGAGACACAGGGGCTTCACGGAGAAAGGAGACCGTCACGAAGGGCCCTCTGGCCAGTGGCACCTGAATAAGGGATCCCTGCCGCACCCTCCTCCTGACTGGACACACAACTAGCCAGGGAATTGGGCCACTGCTCACATTTCTAAGTTTATTCTTGAAATGACGCGGAGATTTGCTCACATGTGATTTTAGAAACGTATAGTAGACCTTGAGATGTGTAGCCTAAAATTCCCTTTGATGGTCAGAGGCACTTGGTGTCCCTCCCCATCACCCCTGGGTAGGTTCGAATAAAAGTGGCCTCTTGGACTTCTGTGCAGTGGGCACGCTTCAGAGCTACATCAGAACTCCGCAGGCTCTGAGCAGTTAATGGAGTGCACACTTGTTGTGCGTGTACATGTGAACGCTCGTGTGTGTGTGTGCATGTGTGCACATACATGCACATTCTGCACTGGACAGCAAGCCTCTTGAGAGGAGGGCTGGCATCGGATGCTTTTTAAACACAGCTCAGTACCTGCCACAGTAGCACCTGTATGGTAAGGACTTGCACGTGGCCATTAAAGGATGAATGAAGAGAAAGGCGTAAAGAAAGGGGTTGGGAAAAGTCTTAGATTTAAATGTGAATTATGATTCTCTCAAGTTACCCTTGCATGAGGTGAAGAGTGGACTATAGAGGAAATTTCTTTTGTTTGTTGCCAGCTTTTATAAGGTGAACTCCACATCTAGCAATGGTTTAGTGATAAAAAAATTTATTTGTAATTAAAGCATTCACTTGTGCTACACACAGCATACAGCAGCAAACAAACTATTGCACAGAAATACTTAAGAGCTGGGAAACGATGTTTCTCATTTTTTTTATTATTATTTTGAACACAATAGTAAACATTAACTGTTATATAGGAATGCTTAGGAGCTGGAAAACAATCTCTCTTAATATCTTTTATTCTCGTTGAACTTATAAGGTTATAATTCAACAAAATATTCTACCAGGCAGCTCTTTACAGCACTCTCCTGTTCTGGCCTGTCCCATCTTGCAGAGGAAACCGATCCCTGGGACAGGCTGAATTGGCTCAGATAGTCTAGGAACTCAAGTAGGTGAAACACTGGTTGCTTTATGCAGTGCACGGGAAGCCCACACAGCAAAGCGAATTTCCAAAGGCGCACAACACAACCGGGCCCTGGATTCCTGGGAGCTCCGGACTGGAGAGGCCGTGGCTCTCAGGAAGAAGAACGCTGCTCAAAGGGAAAAGGAGGCAAAATTTAAAAAAAAAAAAAAAAGAAAGAAAAGAAAAAAGAAAAAAGGTTCTGCTGCAAGATGCAGAAGAAAAATTTCTAAGAAACTAATTTTAAGCAGAGATTGTTATCAAATATTCCAAAAACCAGATAATTTTCCAGCAGATAAGCTACAGACATCCAGGACTGCCCTGAGGTCTTGAGAAAGAGTCAAGACAATGTACAGGCAGCCTGCAGATGCCGTGAGGAAGGGAATTGAGCATCCCAGCACCCCTACTCCTCTCCTGTACCCCTGCTTTGTCTTGGCAATGATGGAGGCTTTGTGTGTTTGAGTGCAAGCAGTAGCCTTTCTCAGAATTCCCTCTTCCTTGGATGTTTGTTTGTTTCGTTTATTTTTGTCACGGATCACCTGACAGCAGTGAGCCCCGCCCGGGCAACCTCTTGCCACCCCAATAAAACTGGGGCAAGGAAATGGCTGTGACTTATCATATCCTGGCAAGAGTGAAATCCCATGATCCACCTATAAATATCATTTAATGAGGCAGAGATGCAGAAGCTAAGGTAGTGTGTAACTGTTCTGCAGGTGTTCTCTTAGGGTGCGTGTTGGGGTGCAGGAAATCGTGCAAAGTAACACAGGATTCGGCCTGATGGTGCTCAGGCCTCCTAGCCCTCTACCTAGGGTTTGCGGGAGATGGGACATTCATGTCTCAGGGAAAGGGGCTGGGGAAGAGAAACAGATGGGGGATAGCATTAAACTATCAATTTACTCACAATGCAGATTCCCGAGCCATCCTGGCATCGATTCGAATGTCCGTGGCAATGGCAGGGAAGGCACAGTCCGTTATAGAGGCCTCTGTAATCCCGATAGTATCCAGGGCCGCAACTCTATTATTCAAAACAAAGTGCTTAATCAATACAAAGGAAGAGAACATTCCTGAGAGGAAGCACATGACAATTCTGGCTGTGAAGCATTCACTTTTCTGTCTTCTTTCCTTCAGTCTGTGTGTGGGTTTCTAATGTCAGCCATGGGCTTTTATTCCTTTTGACAGGTTGTGCTGTTTCCCACTGTGGTGGAAATATGAGGTGTGCGTGGGGAAATGAGAGCAAGCACGGGTAAGGGGACCTCTCTTCCTAGTGGTAGTTTTGAGGGTGGGTGGAGGGGGTGGACAGCTGAACAAGTAAAAAGGATCCGGCCCCCAGTCATTAGTAGGGAGGCTACCCAGACAAACTGCCTGCAGTTCAAATTCTCTCCACAGCTAGTCCCTCTCAAAGTTCGGGTTTGGGCCAATAGAGCAGTAGGGGAGGAAGCACTGGGGGGTCAGGTAAAGAGTCCTTGTCAGGATCTGCACAGTAACAGCAGTATTACTGGGGGTCACTTTATTGCCACTCATTAGACTATGCGCGACAGTGGTGGAATGAGGCGCTCGGGTGGTGTACAGAACTGTTCACCAACCAGTGTTTGGTCCATGCTGAAAACCCTGAGACCCAGCCTGAGGGTCTCCTGTTTCCCTTTGCTTTGATCATTTCCATTTTCACTACACTGTCTCCTTCTAGGCAGCAATAAGTTACTGTTTTTCATCTAGATGAAAAGAATTGTAGTTTTTTTTTTTTCATGAACTGGTATCTTTTGTAATGGATTCTAGTAAAGAATACCTCCAATACCTTGAAAAAAAAAACAATGAGTTTTACAGTACCCATTAAAAATCCTTCAGGTGTCTATCTAGAGAGAGGATTAAGACATGTTCTTTATTTTGGCCAAGGTAGCCAGGGCACAGATTAAAATCAGACATTGCGCCTAGTTTGTTTCACTGATTCCATATCTGCCCTAATTTTAAGGCATCAGAAAACAATGAATACTTCAAGAAAAAGAATGGTCATTTATCTAATTCTCTTTAAACAGCACATGTATCTATGAGATTCTGAAAATCAGCCAAAGGAGATCTTAATGAATGGCCCATTCTTATTCTTCCATGGCCAGAAAGGTCTCCCCTTGGTCAAGTGGAAGAGAGGAAGAAACCACTGGAGCCGCATGAGTCACGAGCTCCTGGGGAGGAAGCTCGCAGCTGCTATCCGGCACTTTCCAAAACTAGCAAGGTCTACTGATCACCCACAAAACAGACCATAATTTCCCATATAGTGCTCCTGTAAGCTAAAAAATTAGATTACATCTTCTATGAATAGGCTTGCCTAAAGCAGATCAAAGTATGAAAGGAATGTTCTTTTCCTGAGAGCACAACTGCTAGATCTGAGAGAGATTCAGCCATTTACGATGTGATCGCACCAACAACAGACAAGCTCCACTATTCCCCATCTATCACATTACCTGCTTACAAAGTCATTATTTTGGTAAAGGACAAGTTATTCAGATCGATAAAAAGACTTAGTTTATGACACAGTGTTTGAATGGAAAACCCTAACTGAACATGCTGTGGGGAAGGATGGCCTATCAGGATGAAAATTAAATCATCCGCCTTAATTTCTTTTGATTCAATGCAGAGAAACACTCAAGAGTTATGTCATGCAACTTTCAAACATTTGTTAGTTGATGAAATATAATCATTTCCTCACCTTTAGAAAGCCAGCAAACATATTTTACATAAAATGCAGTTCAAATATTTACATTCTAATGAAGAATCACTCTAAATTAAAATGAATGCATCTTAATATATTATTCCTGTAGAGAGGTGTTGTAACTAGCTAAGTTTCACAAAGTGATAAGTTCCTAGGATGCTTCCCAGTAAACTTTTATACTCTAAATGATAAGATTATGCTCTCGCCCAGATTCCAGGACGATTTCTGCAGCCAGCAGATCTATTTCCCTGTAAGCGCACACGCAGCATCCAGGAAGTTTACAGAAAGAGCAGAGTTTATGTTGTTTTATGCCAGCAAATCAAAGCATTGTCTGATAGATATGCAAACTTCGATCCCTTTTCTCAGGAATGAATTTATTTTCCTCTCCTATGTTTTACTTTATGGGCAAATTTGGAAACCTGCAGGCCATGGATTCTTTTGTCCTGAGGCTTGAGTTACTCGAAAGGGCACAGAGTTTCATAGTCTATTAACATCCCACAAGCATTCAAGCTGTGAATTGTCTCGGCATTTCCAGGTGGGCTGATGTTTATGGGGTTTGCGGTTAAACAGCTCCCAAGAGGGATCTGTCAGGGACTCCCAGAGGCCACGGCCCTTCCCTGGGCCACCATTTACTCCTTAATCGCCCTAACTTAATATGTCACTAAACTGAGGTCCTTTCCCCATCCCAAGCCAAAATTTAAAAGAGACTTTACCTCCTGGTTGGGCCTCAATTCCACAACACTTGCTTGCAGCTGACTTTGACCTGGAGGCTGAGGAAACGCTACTCTCTGCTGCTGCTGCTGCTGTGAACTGTACCCCAGACACTGCCCCAGGGCCACCCCGAAGATCCACAGCCATCCTGCACCCTGGGCAGCCCGCCTGGCTACAGGCGGCATCTTGGTCCCCTGCAGCTGTGTCCTGCTGGGAGGCGTGCAGAAGCTCTGTGTCTCTCTTCCTCTTATACCTGCCCTTCCTGCTCAGTGCCCGGGCCTGCCTGACTCAGGTAAGCAAGGCTGTCTGCGGCAGGGGGCCCCACCTTTAAACTTCACACATGAGTCAGCCTGCACCGGAGCGGAGCACACAGAACAGTCCCACAGGTAAGCACACCGCTCTGTAATTCCTGAGAGGTAGGGCAGACATCGCCTTTTACCCACCTTGCCTCACAGACAGCTCTAGACAATTAGAGCAACCATAAATCACAGGCTGAGTCACCGCAAAGAACATGCCTTGGGCATGAGAGTGGCAATCCACAGTCCTCCCTTTCCCTTGGGCTATTTTAATCAGGCTGGCAGTGAAGAGGTGGAGGGTAGGGGCCTCAAATAGGTAACCTATGGGCTAAATTTCACAAGACAGCATGGCAGAAGAGGCACTGCAAGCTTGAAAAGTGAAAACTCTCCATGCAGATGGCCTTGGGAATCTGCTGTCAAGACCCAGGACGGGTGGAGAGTGTGCTACATCTGTGGACATTACGTCCAGGGCACACACAGAATGACGAGGTTTGATATTTTCCCACTAATCGCACTAATGTTGTGCTCCCTGCCCCAGGAAAAGAACATAGTTGTAACTTGAGATATTACACAGTTTCGTTTTATGGCACATTGTGATAACCCCAAGGTGTCTCTCAGGTCAACTGGACTTTAAACGATGACGATCCACCGAGAGCTAGAAAATTGGACTGCGATTTCCTCTGGCAGAATCCAGGAAAGTCCCTGGAGTTCAATGCTGCTGGTGACTGGGGAGGAGGCTGGAGGGAGGCGTGGATTAGAGAGAAGCAGAAGCACCCCAGGTCCGGCGCAGGAAAGCAGGGGCTCCAACACTGGGATGCTGGCCTGCATGCTCCAGAAACTCTTCAGCCCCCAGTTGATGGAGACCACCCCGAGCCAGCTACAAATCCATAAACCGGTTTCTCATACTGAAAGTCTGCCTGTTAGCCCACAGGGGCTTGCCTGAAGAGTCAGCAGCTGGTGGGTGAGAATGAAACAACACCATGCTACTGGTTACAGCAGAGTTCTCGAGGGTCCATGATGCTATGAAATCTCGGGTGCAGACAATAGTGCGGCTAAGGGCGATATGACTTGTATATAAAATTTTTGTAGAGGCAGAAATTAAGTTACAGGAACAAACAAATTTCCCATTAATCAGTGATCTGTGCCTGCTAGAATGTTTTGTTCCCCTGTTGCTAGGACACTGCTCATATCATTGCTCTCCACTCTGCTGTTCCCTGCACTGCCCCTTACCCCTTCAAGAAGCTGTGTGTTCAATAAATAGTGGCGAGCTCCGGAGCCTGATAAGAGCTCTGACCTCTGACCGCCCTGGGTCCCCCATTTATGCTGCAAAGACCTTGTTTTGCCTCTTGTTATCCTGCTGCTCCAACCTTGGTCAGGTGATTAGAGGTCTGACCAGCCTCCAGTACCCCGTATCCTATGACTGTCATAGTAAGACACTGGGGATGCCTTTTCTTATTTAATCCCTGAAGGGAGTCTAGGTAAGATAGAAGCACCAGCCCAGCGGAAACCTGCATGATGGACAGAGGGCCCCATGACACCCCATGGTGTCAGACCAGCCGCAAATGTCATCTCCAGAGTGGGAAAAGTGCCTACCTGACAAGAGTCACCCGTGTAGCCTGGTGGACAGGTACACTTCTCCACCAGAGGCGCTGGCTCCAATCCATCGTGGCTGAGCACATCCAGCCCCACCCAGCTCAGGGTGAGCCGCTGTGTCTCCGTGAAGTAGAGGCCTCGGATACTCAGCCTTTCCAGCCCAGACAGCAGGACCATCAGATCGTCCCTGGACACTGGGGCACCACTGCTAAAGTGTCTGAAATTTCCCTGTGGAGGCAAGCAGAGTGGCAGGGCTCCCTTAGTTCCCTTAGTGACCTCCCAAGTTTACTTCCAGGGAGTTCGGAGGCAGACCCCACCCCCAGGACAAGCCAAAGAGAAGGCATTTCAGAAGCACAAGGAAAAATCAAAGTAAGATGGGAAAGTCCCTCCTGGGACATTTATATTCTGAAGTCAGGTGCCCTGGGTTATTCCCAGGGAGGGAGAGTGCCAGGAGAAGGGGGAAAAGAAGGCCCCAAACTAAACAGCAATAAAATGCAACAACATGCTCCAATGTTCTTCTTATTTTATTTATTTGTACCGGGGATTGAACTTGGGACCTCATGCTTGCAAGGCAGGTGACAGAACCACTGAACTAAATCCTCAGCCCCTGTCTTGCTTATTTTAAAGTGACTTTTGTCTGGGGAAATATAAAGGGACTGGGAAAGACAAAGGGAGGGAACGGATATGGAAGTCAACAGAGTCATGCAGCGTTCATTATATATATAGAATTTTGACAGGAAGCAAATCTTTCCTCATATACATACACTCATTTAATTTAAAATGTTTATTGTGGTAAAAACACACAACATAAAACTTATTATCCATTTAATGACATCCAGTAGAGTATTAAAAGCCATAAGCACTGTTGCACAAAAGGTCTCTAGAACTTACTCATCTTGCAAAATAGAAACTCTAGGTCCACTAAGTCATAACTTCCCTTCCTCCTTCCTGCTACCCATTGGCAACCACTATTCTACTTTCTAAGAGTTTGAATATTTGAGATATTTCACAGTATTTGTCTTTTTGTGACTGGCTGATTTTGCTTAGCATACTGTCCTCAAGCCTGACCCATGGGACAGGATTCCCTTCGTGTGTAAGGCTGGAGCGGTGTTCTCCTGTACATACACACCCGCTTTCCTTTCCTTTACATCCATCCATGGACCTCTAGCTTCCATCGCTCGGCTACTGTGGATGACCAGTGGACACGGGTGTCCGAATAGCTCTTCGAGGTCAGATTCGCAGTTCTCTTAGATGCACACCCAGCAAGCATGGCTGCACCCTAAGGTAGCTCTATTTTAATACTTCTAAAGCATTTTTCATAGCACGCTCATCACTTTACGTTCCCACGGACAGTGCAAAGGGTCCTAACTTTTCCACATCCTTGCCAACACATAACTTTTTTTTAAAATAGTAACCACTCTAATATATGTGAGGAGATCTCTCATTATGGTTTTGATTTGCATTTATCTAATGATTACCGATGCTAATCATCTTTTCATGTCAAAGCCTGCACTTTAACCATCATATTCTGTTGTCTCCTTTGAACTCAGCTTCTACATCTCTTAAATGTGCATGCTTGTGCCTAATCTCTCAAAGCTATCATGAAGACTAAAATAAATTAAACAATATTATGTACGTGAAGTGTTCATCACAGGGCACAGCATGTAGTAGACATGCTATTGATAAAAGATACTATGATAAATCTTATATACGTTTAATTTGTGTTTTAACAGCTTGAGGCCTGCTTTATATACATATAGCAATATTTTCTCATGTTAAGTGTGATTTTTAGTAAATGTACAGAAAGCACACAAATATGACCATAATGTAATTTTAGAATATTTTCATCACCTCAAATAGAACCTCTTGCAACTTCGGAGTCACTACCCACAGTCACCCAGTCCCAGGCAACCACTAACCTCTGCTCCATCTCTACAGATTTGTCCACGTTGGACAAAACATCAGCTGCATTTCCATAGTGCACAAAAACTTCTGCGGAGAACTTCATTCCCTCTTCTGCTCCTTTGTGTTAGCATTGCTGCGAACACGACATCTTTGTACACTGCGTGCCCATCCACACTGGTTGATAATTATTACTTTACGCAGTTGTCTTTTAAATTGGATGGGTGATGAAAAAAGAGTTACAAACAAGAGATGCACCGCCCTTAACATCCCCCATGTGGTTGCCTTTTCCAGCACTCTGCTCTTTGCATGGATGTCAGTGACTGTCCTAGCGTGCATTCGTCCCAGGCAGAAGGATTTCCTGTAGGATTTCTCGTCAGGAAAGCTGTCTGGCAACGAGTTCTTTCTCTCTCTTCACTTTTCCATCATTTCTAAAGGATATTTTGCTGGACACAGACCTGTGTTGACAGTTGTTTCAGCACTGTGCATGCCCCCACACCCCGAGGCCTTCTGACAAACCAGCTGTAAACCTCAATGAGGACCAGTGGTATGTGGTGGCTCAATGCTTTCAGGATACTCTGTTTTCCAGCATCTTTACTGTTAGGGACCTGACACTGCCATCACAGGCTGCATTTTCCTGGTGCTTCTTGGCTCTTAAAGACCTCAGGCTCTTTTCTTTAGTTTCCCTCCCCAAGGCCACAGCAGTCTGGAGAAGTTAAACCTGTTTCGGCAGGGCTGGACCCATAAAAAGCAAGCTGGTCGGTGATAGGTTAAAAGTAGCCCACTCCTCATAAATAAGCAATAGCTCAGCCCAAAACCAATAAAAGGACCTTCCTCTCTTTGTTCTTCTCTCTCCTTCTCTCTCCTTTGCTCTCCTGTCTCTCTTCTCTCTGTTCTCTCTCCTCTCTTCCTGACCTGCCTTCCAGAATAAAATCTCGTCAGACCTCTCGGTGTGTGGCCTAGTTGTTGAGCGTCGCTGTGCCTCTACATGTACTATGACTGCTTGTATGGGTTTCTTGCATTTAACCTAAGTGGAGTTTGTCGAGCATTGGGGTTATACTCATTAATCATTTTCTTCCAATTTGGGACATTTCCAGCAATAAATTCCCTCAACATTCTCTCCCTCCCCTTCCTTCTGCTAACCCCACCATGCACATGTTGGTGTACTTGTGCCCACACGTCTTTTACGTGCCATTTACTTTTCCTTATTTTTTCCCATACTAGATAATCTCAGCTGACTTTCAAGTTTGCTAGTCCTTCCTTCTCCCTGTTCACATCTGCTTTTCAGCCCTGTCTTAGTTTGTACTGTAATACTGTACTGTATCCTAAGTGACTTAACCCCAAGAAAACGATTTTCTCTTGGTTCTGGAGGCTGGAAGTCCAGATCAAGGCTCTGGCTGCTTGGGTTCCTGATAAGACCTCTTCCTGGTGTGCAGGCTACCATCTTCTCCTTTGTCCTCACATGGAGGGAAGAGAGAGTGAGCTCTTTGTGTCTCTTCTTGGAGGACACCAATCCTATCAGAGTGTCATTCCTATGGCCTTGGTTAACCTCAATTACTTCTTTACTCCAAATACAACCACATTAGAGGTTAGGGAATCCACGTATAAATAGGGTCTGGGGATGCACAATTTAGTCTACAGCAAAACTTCTAGTGAATTCTGCATTTTGGCTACTGTATTTTTTAACTTTGGAAATTCTACTTGGTCCTTTTCTAAAATTTCCATTTCTTTATCTTGTGAGACATTGTTCTCATATTTTCTTTTAGTTCTTTAGATACATTGCCTTTTCACTGTTAGAGCATATTTGAAATGTTGGTTAAACATCTCTGTCTAACAAGTCTACTACCTGGTATTCCTTGTTGACCATGTACTTATCGCTCTCCCCCACACGTACACACACACTTGTATGAACCCTACCTCCTTGTTTCTTCACATGTGCCAAAACTGTCATTGAAAGCTGAGCATTTAAAATAATACAGTGTGACAACTCTAGAAATCATATTCACCTTGCTCCCAAAGATTTATGGTTGTAGTTTGTTGGCTTTTCTGAATCAGTTCTGTAAAGCTGGTATTATCACCTATGGCCAATAAAGTCCCTGCTTTGTTAGCTTAATGATCAGCTAATGCTTGAACTGAGATTTCCTGAATTGCCTAGAGCTAAAAACGTCTCCTATTGTGAAATGGCTCTGGGTGGTCTTGGGGAGCCCCTTCAACTCTCAGCCTGGTAGCTGACAACTCTGCTTTAGCCTTCACTTCCTACTGCCGTTAAGCCTCAAGGTCAGCCAGAGGTGAGAGTGGACAGCTTTCTCAGATCTGTCCTCAGCATATGCACAAGCTTGGAGTGTGCATAGCTCTGAGCATATGCAGCCATAATCCTCAAGATTATGGTGGGGCTTTCAAAGACCCCTCTGGATATCTTATTCTCCAGCCTTTTTACTTTAAGATTTGTGATTTAAGATTTGGTTGCCCTGAGGTTAAACAATTGCCTCTAAATGTTTCCAACAACACTCCCAGGGAACAGGCTCAAATCAGGTCAAATCAAAACAACCTTGCAAGTGAGATCTTCCAAAACACACCCAGACAGGTCAAGTTAGGACAGTTCTCTAGTGGGGAGGTAAGAAAGGAGCTCCACTGGCACTTAAGATTCCTATGGAATTGGAGAGAGGAGGATGCGGCAGGGCAAGCCGAATGCCACAAAGCTCAGTGTTCTTCCAGAGTCAGCCAGTTTGTCTTGAAGAAACATTTTCTAGATGATAGCAAGCTCAGAGTCCTGAAAATGCTAATTCCATTTTGCCAGTTTTCTTAATGCTTTTATGGAGGAGAGAATTTTTGGAAATTCTTTAACCTTGAGTTATTGGAGACACTGAATTGTATAAAAACGATGGTATTTTTAAGGAATAGTAATCAAATGAATGTGGTGTTTCATGACCCAATGAGAGTTCCTCTGCTTAGCTATATTACTTTTATTTCTTTTGACGTGTGACATTTTTATTACCCTTCTACCCATCCATGCCAAGCAGAGGCTGGACACTGACCAACTCCCAGGCACTGGGGGAGGCTTGATGAAAGGAGCATTTATAACCTGATGGGGTTTACAAGACAAAAGCAGGTGTGAAAACAGGAAGGATTAAGTCAAAGTGCCATAAAGATGGTACGAAGCCATGTGAATATCAAGCATTACATTTCACAAAATCTGTATTGTCTTAAACCTATCTACAAATAAACTGTGTCTACACAAATGTCATTTATATTTTCAAATTCTTAAAGTAAGACAGTAATAACAATTATCTGAAATAATTAAAAATGAATCAAAAAGGCTCATCAAGCACCCGTTATGGGGCCTTGCCCTTCCTTACCTCTAACAACTGCACTTGCACCTTCTGTTGCTGGTCTGGCTGTGGGTTATTGGGTATCTCATGCACGATGGACATGTGTCGACCCTGTTTAGAGAAGATGTGAATACATCAGCACCTCAGTGGGAATGCTTTGAGGTTTATAATTGACCTAAGAACAAATTTCAATGGATTAACATTATATGAAACACCTATCTTTAAAACATACTTCAGAATTAACTGAGTAGTAAAAGGATTAGTGACATGGAGATAGAATAACAGCTAATATGGTGTATTTTCACAAATAGCCTGGAAAATTGCCTTGACTGATAGTGAATAAAAAGATGGAAAAATTTTTTAAAGCATGCTTTGTAGTGAATGCAAGAAGTAATGTTTTCATTACTGCCTACAGGGCCAGACTGCGGTGGCCAGAAAGTGCTTTAGTGAGTGGGTAGCTGGAGAGGACAGAAGGGTTAGCAGAGCACAGCTAGGAAGCTGCAGAGCGGGGATCCTCAGCAGCCGCTGGGGAGGGAATAGTTAGTCTCCACCTTGAGAGGACCCAGGGTGGCTCTAGATGGGACAGACAGGGATGGTCAGTGCCCTCCATCAGCAGTACCACCACAAGCACGCACACAACAGTGCAGATTTCCTACAGCGGCTCTGCTGGTGAGAGTTGGGCTTGCAGAAAGCAGAGCATTATATGGAATCACAAATCATTTACAGCCTTAATCTGAGAAACATGCCCCAAGGCTCTTAATTACAGTGGCTTAGAACAAAGCAGCACAGTAAATGTTTCATGAGCCTCAATTATATTCTATGTTTGAAGGTAAAATTAAGGAGGAATTTCAGTCATTATCTCTCACTAAGTCTCAATAGTTTGCATAATAAACTCCTCGGCAGTAGAATAAACTCCTCAGCAGTAGAAAATAAGCACACTGACAGCTTGAACTATGAGATGCTCTGGAAAAACATGAAACTCCAAAGCAGTGCTGCTGAGGCAGTAGTTTTATTGCCGAGCTATATTTCTAGACTATAACGTTAGTGCTTTATTTTCAAGATGCCCTGCATGGGTTCCTTGGAGTTTTAAAGCAACTCAGTAGATTTGTATTTGAGTAAAAACAGCACAGCACAGCACAGCAGTGCCTGGTCACAAAGCATGGGAGGCCCTCGGCTGTGACAAGGTACATGAGACTGGCTGGTCCCTGTGTACAGTGAATGATATGAGAAAGCTCTTCAGGAAGCTGGAGCTGCACTGCATTCATCCTAGCACATAAACCAGAAATAAAGTCACCTTCAGGAGACGGCACCACATCCAGCATTCCAGGGACTGTGCCTTACACGGTAGCGATACAAAGTGGGATGTGCTGGGCCAGGGATTCAGCTCAGTGGTGCCACCGTCTGCCTCGCAAGCACAAGGTCCCAAGTTTGATCCCAGGTACCAAAAAACCCCAAACCAAAACAAAGTGGGATGTGCTGTGCTCACTTCTGCAGCGCATATACAAAATGGGATGTGCTGTCATCTCTGCCTCAAGCAACGTTCAAGATTGCAGCCTGACTCTCTGCCGGGCACACAGTGTATGGATATTACTCCTCAAAACCCCCAAAGTGACCCCACAATATCCATTCCGAGTTAAACTCCCAGCACAGCATCTGACACACTCCTCTCTGCCCTCCCAGGCTCTTTCTCGGTGACTCAGTAAACTGATGTCCAGCTGAGTTGAAAGATCCAGCCCTTGGCCTTGACCTCCTCCACAGGCCCTGCACTGCCATGTGCCTGAGTTTCCTTGAGTTCTGGAAAAGATGGGCATCTCCTGTGCCCATTCTTAAGAGCTCTCCCACAAGCCCCGGCCTTCTAAGGGCCTCTTGGGCTGCACCACTCCCACTCACCCAGCACCCTGCTTACTCTTCCTCCCAGCCCCTGATGCTCAGTGGATAGACACATTTGCCCATTTCTCCAGTCTCCCGTTCTTCAGGACAGAAGTCACTTGTCCTTCACAGAGCCCAGAAGTGTGACCTTGCACATAGGAAGACATTTATAAGGTTGAATTGAAAGACAGAAACATAAAACACGAGGCAGTGACTCACAAGCAGCAAGGGCCACCTGCAGTTCAGTTCTTAGGGAGGGCAGAAGAGAAAAAGCATTTGGTCAGAGGAAGCAGAGTCTTGAACAATGCTTTGTGCTCTAAACTTCCTTTCCAGATTCCTCCAAACATTGGAAATAATTTCATCCAGACCGTTTGGGGGCCGTGTATTAAGATGTCCCCAATTCAGCTCAATACCAACTGGCAATGGCCACTTGCTGCCACTTTGGTCCTGTGCTGATACCTACAGTGAGCTGCACATCCGGTGCCTTTTCCAGAAGAACCATGTCCTCAGGTAAGCCGAAGGACTTGATTTGGTAAGTGAGGTAGCCACCGTATGAGGTAACCTAAAATGGAATGGAACACATCAAGAATATAAGCATTAAAAGAGAATATGCTGAAATTAACCCACATAAAAATGTACCTAGACCCACTGCTTGTACAAAGACACACAGGCAACCTGTGGACCAGGATGAGATCCATAGAGCAGGGTCAGCAGGGCAGTTTAACCTACTTCACACCATTTTTATATCATTTACAATACTTGGCATGAACAAGATTGACTTTTACAAGAAGATACTTATGTTTAAAAGAAAAATATTAGTCATACTGACACACACACAAGATCTTTTTTCTTGATGACTACTAAGCCACAAATTTATTTAACCTATAGAAATTCTAGGAAATTTAGGCCATTGGTTTCTTATTTAAACTGAGACTATTGGGTTATATCTAGCAGTTAAAAAGCAAAACTAAAAATAAAACAACAAAAAGATTCCCCCTGAAAGAAGATGGGGACCATTTCACCAAATTTTACCAAGTATCAAAGCCATGATCAACTACTCTGATAGGAATGTGGATCATCTATCTCTCAGTGCTGGGCAAGCACCTGACTGTGAGGGTGACATGGTGGTGAATGGCCATAATTTTCTGACAGCTACTTCACCTCTGCTCCTAATCCTTCCCACCCTTGATGCAGAAAGCAATGAAGAAGAAAGGAGTAGCAAGAGATGGAAACCAGAAGCAACATGGTCTCCGCTTAGACAGAACAAAATTTTCTTCCAGGAAAATAAAAGCGACTTGGGGTAGTGGAGAAATAGCGGCTTTGACAGAAACTCCTCCTGGGATCTGCAAACTAGCAAAGTCTCACAGAGCCGTGTTCTCAGGGTCGGAACTCCTTGAATCGTCTTATGCAAGTAAAAAGCGCCTTTTATATGGCTGTAGTTTTAAAGATATGCTCACAAATGCCTTGATACTCCTTTCTACAGAAAGTGAAGTTTAATTCCCTCCCCTTAAATGTGGGCTGGACTTAGGGACTCACTTCTAATGAGTTAACAAACAGAACAAAGCAGAAGTAAGAGTATGTCATTTCCAAAATTAGTTTATAGAAAGACTGCTGCTTTTGTCTTCAGTTCTTTTGTTCATTCTTTCTTTCTCTCTGTCTGTCTCATCTGTTGCTTTGCGGGAGCTCAGTTACCACGTCATGAGGAACCTCAGGTAGCTGAGGAAGGATCTCAGGTGATGAGGATCTGAAGTTTCCAGCCAACTTCATGCAAGGAACAGAAGTCTGCTAACAGCCATGTGAATGACCTTGGAAGCAGGTCCTCCAGTCCCAGATGACCGAAGATCCATCGTCTCCTGGATCCCTGACCCACGGAAACTGTGCACCACAATTGTACTGGGGGAAATTCGTAACGGGTAGCAGGTAACCAGCATGTGAAGAGGAACGTGAAGTGAGGAAAAGCTGGGTCATAGGAGAGAGCCAACGTTCTCTACACTCAGACATCAAGACTCACAGGCCTTTGACTGGAAGGCAGAACTACAGACCTCAAGCCAACAAGACCCTAGAAGTCATGTTCAACATGAGATGACGGCATCACCCGAATCAAGCCCTGGGAAAGCCACCCCTTCTCAGAAACCTCCTCCCTGCCAAGCTGGGAATACTTGTCACCTCATGGTGTTTCTGGCTTCATAAAGTAAGCAGACTTGGCTGGGCTCTCGAATAATAATTTAAGCAGCAAAGAAAGAGCAACTCATTTATTAGCTCCCTGAGGAGTATGTAAGTAAATACACAGGATTCTGCTCACGAAAGTGCAACAGCTCCCATGCTTCCTTAATAAGCTCAGGAGTCACTTTCCCTTTTTTGTTTGCCTGACAAGGAGCCTTTCTTCTGCTTTGAAACAACGAATTCTTAGCTTTGTCATTTAAAAGCATACCTGTCCCATTTGCAATAGGTACTATTTAAACGGCTCTATATCTTCCTAGAGGAAAACTCCTTGGCAGTCTAAAAATCTAGAAAAACACTGTACATGGTTTCTTTTCCTGGGGGGCTTGTGTATGTGGGGTACATGAAGTGCTTATTCAGTCCTTGACCAGAGGGAGGCAGGGTGTCCTCTTCATGATATTAGTTAATCTCATTGCTTTTTCTCCCCTGCCCCCATACAGAGTATGGAACCCAGGGCCTTGTGCATGGTAGACAAGTGCTCCTCCACTGAGCTACACTCCCAGCCATGTTTACCTTTTTATTATGAGACAGGGTCTCACTGTGTTGCCTCGGCTGGCCTAGAACTTGTGATTTTCCTGCCTCAGCCTCCTGAGCAGCGGGGGTTGCAGGTTTATGCCACTGTGCTCAGCTTTGACCTCATTTCCTAAACATCTTCCCGATGCTTGCTCCAGAGTTCCTGACCATGCTGCTCCTACAGTGACAGAGGAGGCCCAGAGAGGGCTCACAAGAACAACAAGCTGCCCTTACCTTGTCCCCCAGGTAGGATGAAGGTGCGACCCAGGACACATTGAGGACTGTGGAGGGCAGCTCTTGGATATCTGCAACCATACTCTGGCTTCTTGGATTGTAGCTGACAGGGAGGTTGACACCATCGGCTGTCTGCAGGAGCCAGCAATCCATCCTCCTAAACTGGAGACAAAATCATGGCGTGGGAATGCGGTGGCGGCAATCACACATCACAGAAAGACCTACAGAGTAGCCGCTAGCTTCAAAGGCTTCTTTTATGTGTGTCTCTGGGGGAGCGTTAGGGGGCACTGAGATTGAACCCAGGGCCTCGAGCATACAAAGCATGTGCTGCACCCCTGAGCTACACCCCCACTCCCGGGCCCACCATGACTCAGGCCTCACCCACAGACGGCCTCCTCTCACCTGAAGTGACCAGGGGCTTTCAGAGGCTGCGACAGGACATATGTGAGATTGCCCTTCCTACCCCTGCACACAACCTGTCCTTGACGTTTAGTAGTTGTTCAACGAAAGTGTGAACAACAAATGAGTACATTAATAATAAATAGAATGGTAAAAAGTGAGCTCCCCACAGAGAAAAATTTGATGTTTAATACAATCGCTTTCTGTCATGATTTTTTCTCTAAGTGGAGCTTCAAAGTTAAATGTGTTCCTGGTCGCAAAAGAAGCCCTTTCCATTTTGAGGGAAGAAAAAAGAAACGACCAAGTATAGTTTAGGAATAACACTTCCTGGTTCCCTAAGGGGTACAGTGTGGGGGCTTCAGGGTAGATGTACAAACTAATTTTCTTTCCAATTCCCAGTCTGCCCCCCTTTTAAGGAACAGGCAGTAAAATATATAATCTTCCTTTGAATACTTGTTGGATCTAGGACATTACTCACACAAAGAAAGCAAGCAGGAGGCTACTTGTTCCTGGAATAATGGAGATTTTTAAAAAAGTTTTAGTTTTATGAAGTTAATTTCAAAGGTACAATAGGAAAGAAGGAAAGGCAAACAGGAAGAAGAAGAAAGAGAATGGAAGGATGTGATCTTGTACTGTTATAGAAGATATCTATTTAGTCTCTGTTCCTAGTTCCTAGCACCGAGTGCCTGAATCTCTTGTAACTTCCCAAATTGCAGGGGTGCCAGGAGCATCTTTTGCTCTAATGTTCAGCCTCAGTCCCCAGTTCCTGGCTCTAGAGCTTCTATGACCATGGATCTCCAAAGTGATGACTGTCATTCTGGATGTTAATGGCTGGTAATGAGCTGGTAATGAGCCCTATCCCAACCTCTGCAGAGGGACACAGCCCCGGATTGAGGTAAGTACCAGTGACTGATGATTTAATCAATTATGCTGACATCATGGGATCTCCATAAAACCTTAAAAGACTGTGTTGGGAGCTCCTGGGTGCTGGGAGGGTATGTGAAGGGGCGCACCCCAGCTCCAGGGGGACAGAAGCTCCAGTGCTAGGGGCCCTCTGGACATCACCCTGAGCAGCCACGCATCTGGATACTTTATAATAAACCGGTAATGGAAAGTGAAGTGCTTCCCTGGGTTCTGTTGGCCAGCACAGCAAAGCACCAACCCTGGAGAGGGAATGGCAGGAACTCTTCATTTATGGCCATGTTGGTCAAAAACACCACAGGTCCAGGACTTGCACTTGGCCTTTGAAGTGAGGGCAGTCCGGGGGTCCCCACCCCTCAACCTGTGGGCTGATACTACCTCTAGGCAGAGAGCAGTCAGAAGCAAACTGTAACACATCTGAAGAGGAAACTGGAGAACTTCTCAGTGGGAAAGATCCTAAACATTTGGTGTCAGACACGTGGTAAAGACAGGGAGAGAGTTTTCTTTTAAGGGGGAAAATGACTGCTCTAATTGTGGCCTTCAGTGCCCCCCACAAGGTCCCGGTGTGAGAGTGGACCACAAACTTATCACTAGGGGGATGTGGTGTAACCTCTGAGAGGTGGACCCTACTGGAAAGAAGTCAGGTTACTGGAGTGTGCCCTCAAGGGCACTGCGGACCCCAGCCCTTTTCTCTTCCATCTGTTCTAGTCTCAGCTACTGAAAGGTGAGCACCTTTTTTCTACCACACATTCCCACTATGATAAACTCCTCACCACAGGGTCTACAACAACGGAGCCAGCCAGCCATGGCCTGAAACCTCCAGAATGAGCCACATAAACTTTTCCTCTTTTTAATTCGATTACTTTGGGTATTTTGTTATGGCAACAGAAAGCAACACACTCCATTCACTTAAAAAGTATTTGGCCATAGGCCAGGGATTTAGCTCAGTGGTTCTACCACCTGCCTCACAAAAGCAAGGTCCTGAGTTCAATCCCCAGTACCAAAAAATTAAAAAATAAAAAGTATTTAAGGGGCAATTATTATGTCCCAGGGCCCGTCCTAGTCTCTGGGAGTGGACACATGTCAAGGGGCTCACATTCTAGTGACAAATAACTTTTAAAATGAAATGTATGAAATGTCAGAGAGGGGTCAGTGCTGTGGAGATAACAAGCGTCAAGTGATCAGGGTGAGCTATTTTATAGGGAATGGTGAGGAGAGGCCCTTGAGCATGTGACATTCCATCAGAGACCTGGTCGTTCAAGAAATAATCATGAGGATATCTACGGGGAAAATGTTGCCAGCCAGGGAACAGAAAGGGCAACACTGGCTATTTTGATCATTTAATATACAAAAAGTCCCATGAAATTTTGTGCCAATTTATTTCCTTCTTCATTCCAAAATTAGACTAAACAAAACCCACCACGACTCTAACTCTACGCATACCTTTATGTGTAGACCTTTTGTTTTGGTACAAAGATGAGTCACTCCAAAACAGAAGCAACTGGTGCAACCTAAGGGATTTGCTGGGTCTAAATTAAATGATCCTTCTTGACACCTGTCACACTGTGCACCTTCTACATTTTCCTGTTGAAACAAAACATGAAAAAGGAGACATCATTCCTTCTAAAAGTTCCCTGGTTGCAAGGAGCTATTTGCACAAATTAATCACCAACGCAAGATGTTCCAACAGGAATGCTAACCAAACATTAAAAGATGGCATCTTGAAGGTAGTCAACACTGTGAGGTTTCACAAGGTGAGGAAACCAATTCAGCCCACTCACTGTCACCTGGAAAAGTCTGCTAGGAATGGCATCCACTTATATCCGGCAGAACCTCTTGGAGCAGAGAGGAAAACATGGAGGCCAGGGGCCAGGGACAGGCTTTAGGGAACCTACGAACTTCTTGACATTGTAGTTAAACTTCTGCATTGATTTTTCCGGAGAGGGACTACCCCTGTGATCAGACCCTCAAGGGGTCTGTGGCCTGTCCCCAGAATGGGAGGGTTTCTCTTCCAGGTCTAAGAAGTGAGAGAATGTCTCTGCAGTGCTACATGAGCGAAGGAAATCTACTCTAGGTTGGTCCCACTTCCCACACTTTGAGAGGCTAATTCAACAGGAAGAACCTCTCCTAGGCTGGTAGTGGTGCCCCCAGCACTGCACCATGTCTCACCTTGCAGAAGCAAGCCTGGGTCTTCTTGTCACACACTTGAGGCTGAGTCCCATTGCGGTTGCAGCGGCAGGGCCGGCACTCAGGAAACTTGTAGTATCCAGAAGCACACTGGTCACACCTCCGGCCTGTGATACCGGGGGACTTGCAACTGTAGTTGAGGCAAAGGACATAACATTCCTCATTAGCTGTCTGCACACAGTTCTGAGCAGGTGCTGCATGAAGCCAGTTGAACAACACAACAGCTACTTGTAGGGTGCTTATATTTGAGACAGAGAGGGAGACACAGGCAGAAGGGGATCACAGAAGGAGCAGAAGACAATTATTGTGGGAAGCACAACCTCCAGGTCAGCCTCAGTGCTAGGTGCTGGAGATGAAGGACAGATTTGGCACTAAGTCTGGAGGGTTCCTGCAGGTGGCCCGTGAGTGGAAATGAGAACAACACACACGCAGGCACACACGCAGACACACACACACAGACACAGACACACACAGACACACAGACACACACACACACACACATGAGCCAATGGGCTCAGAGAAGCCACAGCTGGCCCAGCCCAGGAAAGTCCCTGCTTCACCGATACCAGGGCTCAGCCTCAGCCTCAGAGGACAGTGCGTGGGGTTGGGGGTGGGGCAGACATTCAGGACAGAAGGAGCAGAACCGGGAAACCACCCTGGGCACGCAGAGAACACAGTAGTGCTGCCGGGGCCTGCATGGGTCCACAGAGGTCACACAGCCCAGGGCCGGCTCCTTTCCCGGGCTGCATGGCACAGAGATGGAGACAGGCAGGCCAAAGGCAGACTGGCAGGGCTCACACCCAGCACTGACAAGGGGAATGTACTGTTTTTGCAACGTATTGGACAACTGCTGAGAAGAGGCAGTGTGTGCGAAATTGCAGCACAGTGCCTGGCACGTGGCAGGTTCCCAAGGCCCCGCCGAGGAGGGAAGGGTGTGGGTGGATGCATGTGGGGGATGGCGCTGAGGAGGCGGACCCCGGCAGAGGGCTGCGGCACCAGGAGAGAGACACAGGGCAGTAAGGTAGGAGAAGCCTTTGGATGGACAGGAGGGGTGGGTTCCAAAACTGTGTTTGCGGTGAGGTTATTGAGACTTGCCACTTCCTGCCTGAGGGGAGAGGAAAGAGAAGGCACGGAAGACTCCCAGGTTTCCGGCTCAGGGGTAGCTGGGATCCCGGGACCCTCTGGGTGAGGGATGTAGGGAGGAAGACATGGCATTCGGGGTGGGGGAGTCCAGCCGGCAGCCAGCGCTGGTGCCAGGGAGCAGGGAAAGCTCCCGGGGAGAGGGGTGTCTCAGAGTCACCAACAGAAGCAACGGAAGCACAGAGGGGAGGAGCGGACGCTGAGCGGATGGAGAGCAGGATCTGTGAGCTGAACCCCAAGGAGCTGCTGCTCCGGGATGAGGAGAGGAGGTGGAACCAGGTGTGAGCCTGCAGCAGCTCGGTCCGGGAACCCCGGCACAGGGCTGCACCGGTGCCAGTGTCACACATAAGCAGACGAGAGTTCACACTTGGTGAGGAACAGCCAACTCGGAACAGGCAGCCTAGGCGAGGCTTTGAGCAGATTTGTCTTTCACAAGCAGGTTCCTCATCTGTGAGCTCACAGACATTAATGTCATGTCTGCTTCACAGGATTGCTGTGAGGGTTATAAGGGATTGTATGTGGAGCCTGAGAACTGTGCCTTGCACACAGGCATCTCTACGATGATCACTGTCTTGACTTTGGCGGAGGGAGGCAGGCAGCTGCCCCTTTATCCACCCAGCACACCCGAAAAGATGAAATCAGCTTCACCTGCAGGACCCCCCGACAAGTCCAATGTCAGGTCAGTCCTTCCAGGGCCCTTCCATCCCTCTCCCCCTCCACCCCAGCCAAAACTGCAGCAATTGCTTCGTAAGGAGGAAAGTTTCTCAAAGCCACACCCAGAGCAACCTAGGTGTAAAGTGTGAGCCACACCTGGAGCAGTGCAGGTGCAAGGTGTAAATGCTCTGCTTGAAGGGTTCACTCCAGTGCAATGGAGTGTTAAGTAGAGAAGGGATCAGGGACTGTTTGGAGACTGAATAGACTAAGGGCCATCTTCTCAGAGAACCACAAATACTGTGTGCACACATGCACGCACACACACATCTCACACACACTTATCTCTCTCTCACACACACACGCCACTTGTAGTCACTTTAAAGGTTAATAACACCTAGCCTGTTCTTAGATGATGCTCTATTTCTGGATTGGCACCAAGCACAGATGGTCTAGAGATGGAAAGGAGAGAAGACAAGTAACCTTTCCCAAGTAAACAGCATCAGGAAGAGGAATCTTAGTGCAGAAGAGGGGCACGGGAGACGGTCTCTGTTATGGTTTGATCTTAGGCGTCTCCCAAAGGCCATGCATTGAAGGGTTAGTTCCTAGCTGGTGGCACTGTTGGGAGGTGGAAGGGACTTAAGGAAGTGGCACCCAATGGAGGGAGTAGATCACTGTCCCTTTCTCTCTCTCTCTCTCTGCTTCCTTGAGGTAAGCAGCTCTCCTCTGCCACATGCTTCCACCATGATGGGTTGCATCACTATGGATCCAAAAGCCGCTGGGCCAAGTGATCATCCGTGGGCTGAAACAGCAGTGAGCTGAAGTCAATCTTTCTCCCTTTTCAGGTTCATTTTCTCAGGTATTTTGTTGCAGGGATGGAAAGCTGACTGACACAATCTAACTTAGGCTGGGCGGACCTGACTTCTCTTGATCTGGTAGTGAAGAGAAAGCCAGTGGGCATGGACAGTCATAAAATGCCAACCAGGCTCCTTGTCCCAAGGTCTGGAATATGTCTTTTGGAAAATGTGGAGGGTTTCTGGCCCAAGAGAGCATGAACTTAATGCTGGTGATAAACAAGTCACACTGACCACCTTTGGTCACACACTGGGCATGGTTGAGTGTCCCTCAGCCTGGACCTTGAAGGTAGGGACATGCAGACTGTTTTTTTAATATGCTCACTTCATTGGAAAAGAAGGGTATGGGGAGTATGTTACAGCAAGAGCAGCCGTGGAAGCTGCTAGGCATGCTGTGCACGTGGGAGGGAAACAAACTCACCCTGGGTCTGCTATTCATTCCAGCTGATGTGTTAGAAAGGAGAGGGGCAGAGAAGGTGTGACCACATCGGTCCTACAGGACCCAGCTCTAGGCCTCATAGCATGCATGCGACAGCTGGGAGCACAGCATGCAGGGGACAACAGCATGGAGGGGAGAACAGCATGGAGGAGAGCATCACAGAACCAGTCCCTGTGCAGCCAGCTGGGCTGAGAGGCCAGGACCCAGCAGAACGTGGAGCATATAATACCCATAACCTGAGTCATACAGTGTTTACATCCTTGAACTTAAGAATCTTGTACAAAATCCAGCAACCAAGGGAGCTTGCAGTAGTGCCAGGACAAGAGGAGAAATAGCAAAAACAAAAAAACAAAAAATGGAGACTTCCTCTTCAAAGTCTGGCTGAACATCTTTTAAAATGATCTCATGTCAGCCTGACCTTGCACATTTCTCCAAGGAGGCATTGTGCTACCCACAAGGCTGCCTATGCTGCAAAAGCAAGAAGATTCCACTCGATGCTGCTGCCTTGGGCTGCAGAATGGTCAATAAAGTCCTCTCCAAGGCAAGGGCACGGGCACTCGTGGCTGCCTATTATGTAACAACATCTACCCACACGTGGGCCCAGATCCTTTTGTTGTTAAATGCTATGGGTCTCTTCACAGTACCTTCACATCAAAGTCCAGTTTTAAGTTAGAGCCCAAGTCTACCTTGTCCATTTAAGAACTGTGTACATCCTCTACATATGCACCCCTATGTCTGGGGGCGTGGGAGGGAGAAGACCTAGAAGAGTAAGTCAACCTTGACCTCAGCACATTGTGACCATTGTGACACGGGACCTAGAAATAGTGAGTTAAGTAACTGCATCAAAGATGGGATGAGTAAGCACCAAGCCTGCCTGAGGCATAAATGGTGAGGATCTCTTCATTGCTAGTGGAAGGTTTAGAGACTCCTTTGAGTTTTACTTCTAACACAAAATCCTTGAAGTACAAATGTAATTTGAGGGTACTGGAAAAGGAGGAGAGAGGTCTTTCAACACTGGGGAACTGAATTTATGCAAAAAGCGTTTAGAGGAAATGAGACTGAAGTTAGGGTAGGTGGAGGCCAGATTGCCACGGAAAGTTGGCCCTATGCTAGCAGGCAACGGTGAGCTGAGGCAGGTTCTTGAGCAGAGAATGACGCAGCAGTGTGAAGCTGTTCGGACCATGTCACCGTGGCATCCTGCACACAATATGGCACTAGGCCACACTGCACTGACACTGTCTGTTAGTAGAGTTTCCTGAACAGTCCAGACACGCATGCCTTTCACACAAAGTACAGCACCCAAACAGGAGTGCTTGTGATAGTCTGAGCAATAAAATGTACTGATATCTGATAAAATACAAAGACAAAATCAAAAACCTCACGAAAACTGAGAGATGTTTCATCCCATTAAAATACATGCATAAACACACACACACACACACACACACACACACACACACACACATATCTCCAGCATAGAAAATAGTATGAAGGTTCCTCAAAAAGTGAAAAACACAGCTATCATATAATCCAGCAATTCCCCTGCTAAGTAAATCAAAAAGCAAGATATACCCTTGTGTTCACTGCAACATTATTCACAATAGCCAAGACATGGAATCAACCCAAGTAAGTGCCCATCAATGGATGAATGAATAAAGAAAATGTAGTACATATATGCAATGGGATACTATTCAGCTACAACAAAGACAAAACCCAGTCTTCTTCAACCAACATGGATGAACCTGCAGGGCACTGTGGTAAGTGGAATAAGTTGGGCACAGAAAGACAAGTACCCCATGATCTCACTCACATATTGAATCTAAAAAAGTTGGTCACAGAGAAGTTAAGAGTAGAACAGTGGTTACCAGAGACTGGAGAGGCTGGTCAGTGGGTCTAATGTTACAGCTAGGTAGGAGGAATCAATCCTGGTGTTCTACCACACAGTACGAATGGTACAGTACCCAATAGTTCATTATATATCTCAAAATGACTAGGAGAGATTTTGAGTGTATTTACCATTCTAAAATGATAAAAATCTAATATAAT